GCAGATGAAAGCCACTGGAAGATTAGATATAATCCCTGTTCTAAATAAACCTAAGGTATAGAATTTCTCCATTAAGTTTCTATTAAATGTCACATGTCAACCAATGTGCCCCAACAGAAAGAAATTAATTGGAAGTCATTAATTTTAATTCAATTTATACTTGCTTTTTTTGAATTTTTTATCATAACAGTGGCTGATTGTATTTTACTCCTAGAAAGCATTGTTGAGTTGCATAAAAAGGTATAACCATGTAGTCAAGGCTTCAAGAAATATTTCCTTAGAATTTAATTCTAACATGGCATTAGCTTTACCTTAAAATTATCCTTCAAACAAAATATAAGTAGGACCACAATTTAGCTTCCCAGACTAAGAGGGAAATATTAACAAGGAAAGGGAGGAGAAAATAATGAGAAGTTAAGTGATTTCTGATAGCCTTTCATTTTCCTCAAAAACATAATTCCATCTCAATAGTCTCATTAACAGTAAGTCCCTACTGACATCCTCTCTAAGCAAAACCTGTCTGAAAAAACACCCTTATCTGAGCATCTCTGGCAACACTACACAAAAGAAGACTATGTCTTTCGAAATTGCTAAATTTCAAACACTGGAGTAAATAACCTGATTTTTATTTCTAATTAAAGAGCTGTGATTTTAATTATTTGCAGTCTCCCAGAAGAAACACCCTGATTACAAACCAAAAACCTGACTTTTTCCTCTTCAGCCTTCTTATCCAGATGTAAAGGAAAAGGACAAGCTACCAGTTGCGCTCAGACCAAAGCCTCCAGCATCTTTTATAGTTTAACAGAGCTGCCAGATCAACCACCCACATTTTGCTCTAGTCTCCTATTAACTTTTAAATTTGAGGGGACCTTGTCCCTCCTTTTTCCTTCTTTTCACTTTATGTTCTCTTTAAATCTGTTCCTCTTAGAGAGAGCCCCTGCATTTTATTCATTTTGCTTAATATAAACAAGATTTTTGTTTCATTTTGCCTCTATTGGCACTATTTGGGAATATTCTTCCTCTACAAATAAAGAAGTCAAGGCAACTTCTGAAGGGCAGACTTTCTTTCCTGAGCCCATAACAGCTGGAAACTACAAAGGTGATCATGGTAATGAAAACAAAATACTTTTTCAATCCCACTTTCAGAATTTGGAGACACCAAATCTTCTATCAACTCCATCTCTCTCCTCATCTAATTCAGAGACTCTTGAAAAAACCACAGAATGGAGTGCTAGTGGTGAGTTGACAAAATAAGAGGCACTACTTCCATAAAAGCATTGAGTCTTTTTATTTGAGGTGATGGGCAACATTTTAAAAAGTACAAACCGAACAAAAACTATTAAGCAGAAAATAACAAAAGCACATAATGCTGCAACAGAAAATAAACAATAAAAAAATCAGAGACAAGTTTCTTTGAAAAGATTGGTGACATTAATAAACTCCAAGCTAAACTGATCCAATAAAAACAAGACACAACACAAATAATATCTGGTGGAGTGGCTCAAGTGGTACCAACTAAGCATGAGGCCCTGAGTTCAAACCCCAGTACTGCCAAAAAAAACCCCACAAATAATAAATACCCAGAGTGGGTATTTTTATCATTACAGCTCTCAAAGACATTAAAAGGAAAATAAAGGAATATAATGCCAAATAACTTGACAACTTAGATGAATGAGTAAATTACTTGAAAAAAAGAATATTGAAGAATTATTTCAGGGCAAAGGAGATAGAGTAGCATGGCTAATTAATAAGTAATGGACAGCTGGGTGCCAGTAGCCCATGCCTTGCAATCCTAGCTACTCAGGAGGCAGATATCAGGAGGATTGCAGTTCTAAGCCAGCCTAGGGCAAATAGTTTGCAACATCTGATCTGAAAAATACCCAACACAGAAAAGGGTTGGCAACTTGTTCAAGTGGTATAGCACCTGCCTAACAAGCATGAGGCCTTGAGTTCAAACCCCAGTACTGCCAATAAAAAAAAATAACAAGTAATTAATAATTAAATAAACCAGGAATGAATCCTGGACCTGGGGTAAAATTGTTAGCTTTTTATTGCTGTGACAAAATCCCTGAATTATTCAATTTAAAATGTGTAAAGATTTATTTTGGCTCATGGTTTCAGTCCGTGGCCCTTTGGTGTCTGTCATTTGGGCCTGTAGTGAGGTAGAACATCATGGCAGAGAGCATGTGGCAAAACAAAGATGCTCACCTCATGGCAGCCAGGAAGCAAAAGGGGCTGGAGTCCTGCTGTCACAGGGACATGCCCCCAAAGACCTAACTTCCCTCCACTAGACCCCACATCATAAAGGTCTTACCACCTGTCAATAGTGCCAAAGGCCGGTGACTAACACTTTTAACACATGGCCTTTAGGGACATTTAAATCCAAACCATAACAAATTGCTATAAAGGTCATTACGAATATGAATATGACAGTGTATGGTTATCATTCTATCATTATTAAATATTTTGAATTTGGTATTTTGTGATGGTGGAAAGAAGGCTCTCTATGCTATGGTACAGGTAAGAATAAATACTGGAATCCCATGGGATCAGGATTTTAGAGACTACTTTTAAATTTAGAAATCATTCAAGTAAAAGCACACCTTTGTGCTATGAAATAACCTAGTAAGAAATCAAAGGACATAAAAGTAATTGCAGATAAGATTGAATTCTGGAATTTTCTACTATTTGTGCTTTAGAATTCACAGAACACTTCCTAATGGGATTACGAGTCAAAGAAGCAGGATCAAATAACAGATTCCCAGATTTGGAGTCAAGAAGTTTATCTAACTTCTGAGTAAGAGGGAATTTTTATTTTTTAGGTAGTACTGGGGTTTGAACTCAGGATCTCTCACACTTGCTAGGTAGGTGCTCTTACCACTTGAGCCACTCCACCAGCCCCTTAGGAGGGAGTTTTAAGGTTGACCAACACTTAAGAACTAGAAAAGTCAGGTTAAAAAAACATGAAAGAAAAAAAAAGGGACTAATTTAAATACCAGTAATAGAATATTGGTTGGATAATTGCATAATGTCCAGTTACAGAACAACATACTACTTGTTGAATTTGTTTTTCCAAAGACTATTTGAAGATAAGGAGAAATGCTCATAATGTGAATGAAGAGTTGGGGGACACCGTGTCACAGTAACTGTAAAATACAGAAAACAGACTTTTCATTTGGAAATATACCAGAATGGAGTGGCAATGAACTTTTTTCTTTGATTTCTTGTCTTTCTCAAGGTTTATGTAAACACAAGAGTTTACAGACGTTCAACTAAATAAATTAGCTGATACCCCTTTCATACAGCATCACTGAACCTTTAAAAATGTAAACTATTACATGTTTGGTTACCTCAGTAAACAAGTCAGCAAACCTAGTTTATTGTTTTTTGGAAAACTAAAGATCGTTGTTCTGAAATAGTCACTATATTGACCTGTAAACCAGTGATGTCTTCTACAGTTGCTGATAGACGTGCAGCTTACCTCCCTGTTTGGAGGTAAAGTTGGAACTTTACTTGGACTATTGTTCAGGGAAGGGCTATTCTCATCACAATAGTTCTATCTTGGGTCATGTTATTCAAAACATCATCAGCATTACATGTGAATTCTTTAGACAGGGAGAAGCTTTATACCCATTCCATTCTAGATCCATTAAATCAGAATATGCATTTTAAAGATTCCCAAATGACTCATGTTGTTTAAATTTTGAGAAATACTGCTCTAGTTTACAAAGGAGTAATTTATTATCTCAATAATAACATGAAGCCTGTTTTGTTGCTTTTTTTGACAGGGTCTCACTATATAGCCTAGGCTTGCCTGGAATTTGTGATCCTCCTGCCTCAGCCTCCCAAGTGCTAGGATTACAGCTGTGTAATCCCTGGCTTTGCAGTCATGTCTCCAGTTATAACCAAGAATGTTTATACACTGACCTCCCTCTTATTTCCATCTTGCCCTTTGATGGGAAAAAAGATAATCAAGGCCTGTATATAAAATTCAAATGTTTCCATGCTGAATCCTTCTTTCACTTAGCAGAAGTAGAGGGGATAATTATATCTGGTATCATGTCTGAATTCCAGGGTTCCAGACAATGACAGTTCTGAAGTTCTTGAATGAAATGTCTGCTCATGACATTTTATAGAGCATTATTGTATTGTTAAATAATTTTTCTAAAGAATGTTGGGGTTTATATTCACAACTGAATTTTCTTCCCTTCAAAGAAGTCACCTAGGAATAAATGCAATTTCCTTTGTCTACAATCACTTTTCTTTCAGAATTATCAGTGGTCAAGATAAAACAATGTAAGAAATTTCTGTCTCATTACTCTCTAGCTGTATCTAAGGTCTGAGCAAAAACAATTCCTAACTTTATAACTAATTTTGTCATTCACAACTGTCTGGTAACTACAATTCATTTACATCAACTGAGCACATAAAGTACAAAGACCTGCCACCCTAGTTAGTAATTGTAGGCACTCAGGACACTTTTTAAGAAATTACAGAAAAGGTAAAAGGTTTAAAATAAGCACCATCTTGAGAATATGCAACTAAGTATAGAATCTGGGATATCTCTTATTTAAAAAAAAAAAAAGTTATAGCACTTAACAGTTGCCACATATTCTAACTTTTTATAACACCTATTTTAAGAAAATCATAAGACAAAAAACAAAAGCAAATTTCACTTTAAAGAAAATTAAAGACACAGCCAGGCACCGGTGGCTCACGCCTGTAATCCTAACTACTTGGGAGGCTGAGATCAAGGAGTCAGAGTTCAAGGCAAGCCTGGGCAAATAGCTCTTGAAACTCCATGTCCAAAATAACCAGAGCAAAATGGACTGGAGGTGTGGCTCAAATGGTAGAGTAATTGCTTTGCAAGTGCAAATCCCTGAGTTCAAAACCAGTCCCACCCACTCCCCAAAAAACTAAAGACACAACATACTTGAAATCTACTTTAATTCCAAGAGATTAATCCAGAATGCACAGCACATTTTCAACTATTTCTATGCATGCAGTAAAACAGTGAAAGAAACAACTTTCTGTAATACACAACAGACTTCTATGTTTCTTTTAAATATGTAATCTAATACAAGTTTTCTTATTTGCATAAGTCCTATATATAATAATTTCGTCTCAGATTTAAGAATCCTAATAGGTTTAGGACATTTTCTTACAATTACCACTTTATGCCTAGGAAGAGTAAAGACAACATGTGAATTTGTAATGGCTCCTATCTTAAACCCAAGTTATAGTGTCCTCTGAAGAAAATTTCCATAAATTATTAATTACTTGGCTGTGTTTAAAAAACCATTTCAGGTAATGCAAAAACAAAAAAACCCTGTTTTGGGGTTTTTTTTTTGGGTTGATTTAGTACAGGAGGAAGTGGGGGTAGGGAGAGAGAGAGAGAGAGAGAATGTATTCTTAGCTCTAACAAGCATTCGCCTTGTTCAAGAGAAATGATTTCATTGAGTCCATCTTCTGAACTGTTCAGTAACTCCAAGTGATTTTCAAATTAGGAGGTAAGTTACTGGCAATAAGTTCATCAAATTTAGACCTATCTTGAACGGGAACATTATAGAAATCGAGAACATCTCTGACCCGGCACATCTGGTGAAGCCTAGAGTTGGGCACCGCATGGCCCAAGTCATCAGCTAAATGTGCCAAGAGACTGAACTTCTTATGACCATCCTCCAGGGAGATGTCCTGCCAATTACTAGGAAGAGGTGAATCAAAAACTTCTTTAAGACGGAACTCCAAACGACTCTGCAGATCTTGAGGTGGTATGTATGCTCGACTTCGTAAGGGTGGACACACTGGAATAGGCTCTTTTTTCACCTCTTCTACTGTCTCTGCCACTGAAGGTTCTTTCTCTTTTCTAGAATAATCAAAAACAATTATGTGAATCTTTGGCTCACTGTATTAATGAAATTAACAAACAAATGACTGAATTTTGCCCACAAATAATTTGTGCATTTTCGACTTTCTGGGCACCATAGAAAGCAAAAAAGAGTAAGAAAGGTCCTTTCCCTTGGAATGCTTATAAAATTATAGTTGAATGAGTTGGGGAGTTGGTACAAACAGAAAATAAATGTTAAGTATGTATGTTACAAACTCTAAGAATTCCTAAGAGTGGGTGAAGAATGAAGGTAAATCATCATGTCTAGGATTCCTAGTCCTCCAAAATGTAATCTCAATGTATCTCTCTAAAATTACCTCCCACTAATTTTTTAGATGCACTAAGCTATATCCTATTTCTCATACACATTCCAATTTTCCGGACATCATTTACTGTTAGCTCAAATTACATCTGTTCTTAACTTCCAGTTTTTCATCTTTTCCTGTAGAAATTTTACTTATCCTATAAGTCCTAGGACTAAATTCTTGTCTTCCAAGAAACTTTAACCTGATTTCTGCAATCCAATATAATTATAAAATCCTCTGATATTTCAGCACTTTATATTGCTTGCAGGATATATCATATTAAAAGTCTGAATTTTATTTATATTCTACTTATCTTACAAGATCAGGGTTTGCCCATCTCAGATATATTTACATTTTAGACTCTATGACTTCTTGTTCTGGTGGCCATCCTATCCACTGTAGAATGTTAAGTAGCATCCCTGGCCTCTACCTGCTGAATGCCAGTACTACTCCTGTCTTCTGGTAATGACAGCTAAAAGACTGTCAAATATATTAACATTGTCAAGACAAAGGGCAACACTGTCTTGGATGAAAACCACTGTGCCAGACTCTAAGCTCCTTGATACAGAGAACAATCGTACCGATTTGGGTGTTCTCTGAAAACACATGTAATAGCTATTTGAATAAATATTAAATATATGGGCAGGGAACCTGCCTGTCATAGCATTTAAATGCTTAAGAATATGTTTGTAATGCAATTCTTTTTTGCCTACTTAAAAGATTTTCTCCCAAAATCTTTCTGCATCAATTGTTTATCAACTTCTCACTATCTACTTGGTATGGTATGAATGTGTCCCCCAAAAGTTCATGTGTTAAGACACTTAGTACCCTAAATGAAGTGGGCCCTCTAGGAGGTAATTAGAATTAGCTCACAGCCTAAGGGTAAGGACCCCATGACAGCATTAGTAACTTTAGGAGAGGAAGAGAGACCTAAGCTAACATGCTTGCTGTCTCACTGAGTTATGAGGCAGAAAGGCCTTCATCAGATGTGCAGCAAGTGACAATGCCATGCTCTTAGACTTGTAAGCTTCCAGAACCATAAGCCAAATAAATGTCTATTCATTATAAATCACCCACTCTCAGGTATGTTATAACAGAAAACAGGTAAGACATTACTAACATATTCTCGGGGGAAGCAATATGCTGTAATAATTTCCATTTTTAAAGGAAAAAAAAAATCACCTTAGACTTCATGTTTCCCCCCCAGCTACCTCTCACTTCTTCAATAAAAATTATCAAGGTTGTCCATACTCAAGTCTCTATCCCCTCACCTCTCATATTCGCAAATCACTCTAGTCACATCTCATCACACTCAGAATGAAATGCAGTTCAAAGTAAATGGACTAAACATTGCCAAAATAAAAATATATAGAATGGTTAAATGGGTTAAAAGTTAAGATTTAACTATGTGCTGTGTACAAGAAATGCTTTTAGATTCAAAGATATATGTAGGCTGAAAGTGAAGGGATAGAAAGAGATGTGCCATGCAAATAGAAACCAAAATAGCCGTTATGGCAATATGGCAAAATAAATTTTAAGTACAAAACATTCTCAGGAGACAAAGGTCATTATAAAATGATAATATACCCAACACCGTAGCACCTAATGCAAATATGGACAGATCTGAAATAAGAAATTGCTGCAACAGACATCAATCGTCTACTCTCAATAATGGATAGACTATCCAGACATAAAATCTTAATTTATCCATTTGTTCATTTTTTTTTCCTACACTAGAACATATGCTTTTATGAGGGCAAAGATTTGGTCTAATTAATCACTATAACCTGTATATCTAGAATATAGCCTATACTCTCCCATACAGTTGACACTAAAAATATTTATTGAGTGAATGAAGGAAACAAACTTGGAGATATGACAACTAACAAAGAGAGAAAGGAAGTTAATATATAAGCTGATGACAAAAATACTTTTGGACTGTTAGACTAACTTTTGAAACTTAACAGGGCATATACTGTTCCCGGAGGTTCCTACTCTAAGTTTTGATAGGCTAAAACTTACCCAAGTCAACCACCACCACATTCTGCCATGGGAAAGACAGTAAATAGGTGCAAGGTCCAACTCAAATTAGCCTAACCTACTCCATTTTGTAAAGCATTCCATTTTTGTATGGCAGGAAGGCTGTTTTACAGAAACTTTTTCTGACCCTACTTGGATCTTGTTGACAACATTCCGACCACATGTCGCCAGAGAAAAGACTGCATAAGCTTACAAGGGCCCTGGCAAAACTGAGAAACTGACCACTCCAGCCCCTTCTAGCTGAACCAGGAAAACAAAACGTCTCCAGTGTATTCCTTCGACATCTCAAATGCTTTTAAACCCCAGCCCTAACCTCATTCTGGGCACATAGTTCTTGGTAACCTGCCCCATTCATCACTTGGAAAGTGAATAAAACTTTGTTTCTGCCTTAAGTCCTGTTCTACCTGGCCTCAGGGACTGGGTCCTACCAATAGACAGGAGCCCTAAGTTCTAGATTGAGCTCTGCCCTTAACGCGCTCTGTAATTTTGGGAAAAAGACTTCCCTGCTGTGGGCCTCGGCTCCCCCCAGGTCGGAGTACTTAGGAGTGGAGAGGGGCTTTCCGACACGCTTACGCTAATGCCGGCTCAGAAAGGCGTTGAGTTTGCTGAGTGCATCAACGATCGGCAAACAAGGCGGGAAGCTGCGCCTCAGTTCTGACTCTCCCCAGCACTATCACGTTCCTGGCTCGGGTTGACTATCCCCAAAAAGCCGCCCGCTCGTCGACGCCGCGCTCGGTGCCCCGCACACGCGGGCAGCACGGTGTGAATACATAAATGAGAGCGCTGGGAGGGAGAGGGAACGGTACCTCAGACCCGGCCCGCCACCCGCGGAGGCCCGCGCTGAACTCGGAACCCCAATCACGTTCTCTTCTTCCCCTGGATCGACTCGGGACATGTGTCCCATCTGAACAGCGTGACACGCCCCTCTGAACTCGCTCCTTCATCTCCATTACTCCCTTCCCTTACTTTTCTTGAACAGAAGCCACCGACCAACCTTCAGCTTTACCTGGATTGGGACCAAAATTCTCTGCGCGTCGCCCGTGAGACTGTCCACGTCAAGGATCTTCTCGAAACACCGGACACGTACCGCGCCGCCATCTTCGACGAGAGCCGGGGACCAGAAAGCTAATCTCCACAGGCCGTGACGCCCTCAGACCAACCAATCGGGTGCCAGACCTTTCCCTGATAGAGGTGCCCTTTCCCTGGCTCCACCCTTATACATTGCATGGCGGGAAATGTAGTTCGACAGCCATTGCGGGCGGAGGCTGAGCCGCGGCGCGCTCTCGAGGCATGATGGGAGTTGTAGTTGAAGAGCGTCCCGGGAAGGTTCCGGGTGACGCCTTCTGGTCTGGGGGCGGGCGGTCAAAGCATTGCTTGGCTTTAAGGAGGAAGATCTGAAGGAGGCTCCAGCGAGGCCTGAAAGACTGCGCAACCGAATAGGGGAGGGGACTCCGGGTTCGGGGAAAACCTGGTAGTGTGTCGAATATGCTGCTGGGAATGTGACCGATAAGGGAAGGAGGCAGGACCTGGCTGGACCCAGCCAGGGAGCCTCGTCTTGGCTGGGCCTAATTTCCAGGAGCGGGTTAGGCCTCACCAGAGCCTCCTTTCCGTACGGCGCCCCTATTCTCTGACCTGGTGATGGCCTCCCCGAGTCCCCCGCTGGAGCCAAAGGTAAGTGGCCCCTTCCAGGGCTCACCGTTATACGGAGGTAGGTCACGCCACCACCTCTGCTCCTCCCATCTCCTGACCGCCAGCACTGTGCAAGGACCCCCGCCCCCGCTCCGGGGCTCGGGTTGCGGTTCACTTGCAAACTGCCCACAGCTTCTTTTCTTTCATGAGAGACTTGATACACCCACTGGTACACCCACTGGAGAATATTAGGAATGTCCCCACGCCAGCTCCCATTTGTGAGATCCTCCAGGTCTATGTCTTCTGTGCCTTTCATGATGCCTGACCCCAAGGTAGATGCTTAGAGAACCTGATGGAATTGAATAGAAGAGGGTGACAAGCTAGTGAGAATAGAAAATTGGACTTGTGCATTGAGGTAAGACAAGTTCAAAGAGGCTTTGGGCAGTTTACTAAAATTAAAATATTTAAGGTATGATTATCAAACCAAAAAAGCCTTATCCGTAGCCCTTTCACTTCCAAGAACAAGGATCCAGCCTACTTACCCTGTAGTTTGTTACAATCAGTTTCCAGAATTGGGCACCTTTTTGCCCTCTTAGTTACCATGTTCTTCCTACCCCACTGGGCCATGGTAAGTGATTACTTTGTCCTTGAGACAACAGAAACTGATTACAGAAATCGTACTATTTCAGGAGTTGCTGACATTTGAGGATGTGGCTGTGTTTTTTACCCAGGAGGAGTGGGATTATCTGGACCCAACTCAGAGAAGCCTGTATAAAGATGTCATGATGGAGAATTATGGAAACCTGGTTTCACTGGGTAAGACTGTCCTGTTTCTCTAACTAAAATATCTGAGAAGGTACTAGAAATCTGACCCAGAATGCTTGTACCAGTACTAGTACTAAAAGTGCTTTGTTCCAAAGTTCTGATTCAAGCCCTCTAGCCATCAATTGTTATCCTGACTTTCTTATCCCCACCTTCCTTGCAGTGGCCAAAATGCAAGCTTTTCTGGCTTCCTGTCTTCATAATCTCATTCCCATATTGCTTTGTACTTTCCCTCCTGGCACATCCTCCCACCGCTTTCCTCCCACCCCCTTTCACTATGCCTTCTGGAGCCCCTGTTCCTCTTCACACAATGTTCCTTACCCTTCCTGGCCTTAACTAGAACTTGGCACTTTTCCAGGGACACCACTTCTCTGGCAGTCCTTCAAGTGGGGGCTGCCTACTCTCCCATATCCTCCTCCTTCCCCATCCTTTGTCTCTAAGCTGGAAGGGAGAAGTTATTATTCTTCCAGTTCTTCAGTGTTCCCAAAGCATTCCTTTTCCACCTTGAAACAAAATCTCTCCTTTGAGGCTTCAGTAGTCTTTCTCTAGGCACTGAATTCCCTTTCACCATCATTCACCAACTTTTCCTTTGGTCCTTCACACATAACTTTATTGCTTGTTTCAGTCTTTTTCTCTTAACCCACGGCATCATTGACCCAGTTGATTCTTAAGCAATAATAGATCTTGATCATGTGGCCCTCAGGGACCTTGCTTTTCCATGTATATTTAGCTATTTATATCATTAATCATACCCTTAACTTTATCATAGCAGGCAAATCCGAAACCCTAATATCCTATTTTCTGACCACTTAATACAACAATATTTGCTGTATTTTGCTTGTGTATTGACTAACCAAAACACATATGCTTTCTGCCCCGTGGAGCTTAGTGCAACTTATCTTTCTCAGTCTCCTGCACCTTTTCATGGAAACCTGTGCATTCCCATCTCTTGATGTGTCTGCTTTTGCATCAGCCTGTCAGTCCTCTCCTGACCTTGCCTAACACAGCAGGAAAAATTCCAAAAGGATTGGTGTCCTGTTTTTTTGTTTTTTTTTTTTGTTATCCTTCTGGGTTTATACCTCAGCATTTGTTTTCATCCTTGATATACTTATTTCTCTGTTTCATTTAGTGATTTATTTCAAATTTAGTGTTTTCCATCACCCTATGGACCTCACCTTCTGTTTTACAAAGAAAATAGAGGCAACTAAGTGTGAATTGTCAACTCCTCTGCCCCTCATTCACACCCTTAAAGCTGCTTCCATCTTTTCTGCAGAATTTAGCATCAATCATGTTTTTGCTTTTTTTTCCTAATACCCTCCAGCCTCTATTCCTTCTCCCTTAGCCCCCATCGTCTCTCCCCCTCAACCCCCGTCATTTCTGTTGAACACCAACTTTTTAGTCATCTTCTTTTGAAGACCATGTAAGTAACATACCTGGAAAATCTCAAATAATGCATTAAGATCGCAAAGGCCTTTTCTTCCGAGTTAAATACTCCTTTCTCCCTAATACCTTGTCTCTTCTATCGTTTATTATATTATCCTGTAATCATTCTTTATTATTCTAATTCTCTAACCACAGTGATTGCCATGAAGACAGTAACTATATCTTTTTCATTTGATTTCTCCAGTACTTACCACATAGTCTTAAATTGTACACTTCTTAAATATTTCTGTGACTGAGTAAGTATAGTAAATTTAATACTATCTCTTAATTGGATTGTTGCCAGCCCTAAACTAGTCACTGGCCACCTGTCTCCCTTTCTTTTAATATATTCATTCTATCTACTGTTACCAAAGTGATTTTGTGTTAGCTAACTGCTTAAAACTTTGATTCTGAGTAGCTCAAGCAGTAGAGTGCCTGCCTAGCAAGTGCAAGCCCTGAATTCAAACCCCAGTACCGGGATATGTGGGGGGGGGGTTGGGGAGGACACCCCTGGTTTCGGTTAGCTTAAGGACAAAAAGAACAAAGCTAATTTCTTATCACATGAGGACTTCTCAAATATAGCTTTTTAAAAATCTCCTATTTCTTGCATACTGCTTTAATCTTCAGCCATATTAGCTGCTGGCTTTGATTTTTTGTTTGTTTGTTTTACACTATGGGTGTTTTGCACTTGGGGCCTTGCACTTTCTAGGTAGGCGCTATACCACTTGAACCATATCTCAAGTTCTGATTTTTTTTTTTTAATTATACCATAAGTGTCTGAGTCACATAGAACCAGACAGGTGCCAAACCTTCCTGCCCCTGGTACATGTAAATGACTACTATATGGACAAAAACATGACAGTAAGCCCATCCTTGATCTTGAGCTTTTAGGCTCTCTTCTTACATTTCAACTTAAATACAGCTTTCCATCATTTATTATTTTTCCTTCCATAGTTTTATCACCTCAGTAGACCCCACTTCCAATCTCTTGGCAAAAGCTCCCTTAATGAGAGGATATTATTACTCTGTTGATTCAGTGCAGTCTTCTCTATTTTATCCTATTTTATGACACAGCTCTCTTTCAGCTTTGTAGTTTTGGCTCTTCATTCATACTTTACCTTTCCATGTTGTTTTTTTTTCCTTTAAAAAATTAATAGCTACACTGATATAGCTGATAGCTTGGCTTCTTAGTTCTTAGGCCTTTGTAATTTTAATGACTTTTCAGTCTACTTGAGTCACTTGTCGGAATTGGGAATTACTGAATCTACATGACCTTCTTTGATTATATTCTGTCAATTATTACTTTACTCATTCATTCAATTAATCATCATCAAACTTTTGCTAGACTCTAGAAATTCTATTTCTTCCCCATTCTCCTATTCTGTTAACCAGGAAAACTGTTCATTTCCTATCTTGGATAGTGAGGTTGGCACCTCTGGCCCACAGGCCAAATCTGGCCCATAGCCTCTTTTTTAAATCAAGTTTTATTAAAATACAAAAGTGCCCATTCCTTTGTCGACTGTAATTAACTTTCATGCTACAATGGCAGAGAGCGTATAACTCACAAAGCAAAAAATATTTATCATCTGGCCCCTTTTAGGAAAAGTATACTAATGTTTGTTCTGTCCTAAAGTTCATCCACTTCTACTTTATCATCTCCTTCCCTTCTCTCTCTACCTCAGCTACCATTTTATTAGAACTGTTTGAAGATTATTAAAATTAACTCAAAACTAATTATGCAAACAAAGAGATTATTATGAGGAAACAGGGATATTTTTAGTATATATGAGCATGATTATAACTGAATATCAGAAAAGGACTGAAACCAGAATTGAATCAGTCTCAAGAAGTCAGAAATTATTCTGTCTTAGCTTAGACTGCTCTGTAAAATGCTATAAAATAGATGTTTCAGATAGCAGATATTTATCTCTTACTAGAGGATGGGAAACCTAAGATCAGGGTACTGGCAGACTCAGTCTGGTGAGGGCCCTCTTCCTCACTTGCAGATGGCAACCTCACTTTGTCTTTATGTGGCAGAGGAGAGCAGGAAGAATCTGCTTGTCTTTGTTTTTCTTATAAGGATCCTGTAACTCCATCATGGGGACCTCATCTAAACCTACCAAAGGTTTCACCTCCAAATACCATCAGAATGGGGCTCAGGATGTCAACACACAAATTTTTGGAGGGTACACAGCATTTATTCCATAACTTTCTGTTTGTTCCATTTGTTTTCCACTGGCAGAGTAATCTTTCTTCCTCATGTCCACATGCTTCTCTTCTTTTAGCCCCTGAATTGGTAGCTTACAGTTCTTCCCACGTTCCGATTAACATTTAACTATTTCAATTTCAGTTTTAGTCCACTGCCTTCTGTAAATAAATTAGCTGTGATCATAGTATGGGAAGATAGAAAAACGTGACATAAAATCACCAAGCCTAGATCTAATAGGTAGTCGTTTCAAGGCTGCTCTATTTACTTCTTCTGCCTTTATGTTAACCTATTTCTTTTTTGGGGGTGGTACTGTAGTTTGAACTCAGGGCCTCATGCTTGATAGCCAGTCACTCTACCACTTGAGCCACACTCCCAGCTGTTTTTTGCTTTAGTTATGGGTTTCAGGTTTTTGGCCCCAGCCAGTCTGTATCAGGATCTTCCTATCTATACCTCTTATGTAGCTGGGACCACCACTGTGCACTACCAAACCTGGTTTATTTATTGAGATCAAGTCTTGATAACTTTTTGCCTAGGTTGAACCACAATCCTGCTGATCTCTGCTTCCCACGTAACTAATTACAGGTGTGAGCTACCACATCCAGTCCTAAGAAAAGTTATTCTTTAGTATTTCTTTTTGGGGTATATTTAGCTATCCAGTTGTCTGCTTTCTTTCAGTCAAAATTTAGATTCATTTGTTCTTTTAATTAATTCATATGATTTTGATTGAAGTGTTAGTTTCATAGATTAGTTTGGGTCAGCCACTTGGTTGACTATTTTACTGTCCTTTTGACTTTGAGAAAAACAGTTACAGATTCTTTTTATAGCTCTTGTACATTTCTAATTTGTTTGCTTGTTTGTTTTGAATCAGGGTCTCATTGTGTTGCCCATGCTGGCCTTAAACTCCTGGATGCAATTCTCTTGCCTCAGCTTCCCGAGTAGCTGGGTCTACAGGTGTGCATCACCATGTCTGATTAAACCTTTACATTTCTTGTTACGTGTATTCTTAAGGTCTATATTTTTGTTACTACTGTAAAGAGCATATTTTATTTTTCTAAAGTTATTTACTTAATGGTTTTCTTGGTACTAAAAGCCAGTTTGTTTTGTTTTTTTTTCAGTGCTGGGGATCAAACTCAGGGCCTTACACATGCTAGGAGAGCACTTTACCACTGAGTTACACCTCAAGCCCCAGTTTTTTAATCTTGTTATTATTGTATTTTCATTTGCTTCAGGAAATTTAGGTAGATATTCATGTTATCTTTAAGGAATGATAATTTTGTCTTATTTCTTAGAGTAAAACTCCTGGAACAATACCTACTATATAAACATTATAATGACTTTCCCTTCTCACCAGGAATTTATAATTTACATATATAAGTGTATGTATACATATTATACATGTACATATATATACGTATACACATATACATATATATATGTATATATGTATAAGTGCAGTGTAGGGTTAGGATATAGGTCAGTGGTAGAGTGCTTGCTTAGCATGCACAAGGCCCTGAGTTTGATCACCAGCACTGAAGGAAAAAAAGTGCAGTATAACCTGGGGAAACTTCTTTCTATGGAGTTATGGATGATAATAAAAAATTAGTAATAAAAATAGAACAACTATACTTATCAAAGACTTTGCTGGGGAACTACAGCTTTGAATTGAATCTTAAAAAACCAATAGTTTGCCTGGTAAACAATGCTGAGAAACACTCAGTAAATGGAATATGCAAAGATACAGCATGATAGGGCTGGTGAAGTGACTCAGGTGGTAAGAGCGCCTGCCTAGCAAGTCTGAGACCCTGAATTCAAACTCGAGGGCCACCAAAAAAAAAGGTATGGCATGATAGATTATTACACGAGCAATTTACCTATATAAGGTATGATAGAATAGGTAGGTAGGTTGAACTAAGGCTTAGGGACCATGTCATGAAGAGTTCTGAGTATCATAGTAAAGAGCTGTGATTTTATCTTAAAGGAGATGTGGTGCTGCTGAATCTACAGGAGATGACAGAAATGTTTCATTTCTTAAACATTGCTCTGGAATCAGTAAGGCAAATGTAATGGGAAGGCAGTCTTAAAGCCCAGGGTCAAGGATTCTTAGATGGCTACATGAATAGAAGGGTTAAAAGAAGGTAGGCACTAGAAAGGAATCCATGCTTTTTGGCACTTGATTAACAATAAGAAAAGGGAAGAAATCTAGGACTTTAGGATAATGGATAGTGATACCTTTCAAGAGATGATGAGGTGGGGAAAGACGAGCAGATGATGATAGTAATTGCGAGCCCTTTGTGAGGCATCTAAGAGGATGAAGACAGCAAGTAAGGATATAAATCAGGGTAACAATTACATAAAATATTTGCCAAAGGAAAAGGAATAAATAAGGGAAATTTATTGGAAAGGGGGTCAAGAAATGGTGGTGACCAACAGTGTCAGATGCTGTTCAATGAAATAAGGACTGAGAAATGCCCATTGTGTGTATTTGAAGGTTGATGAGAAGTTTCTCTGTGTTCTAGGAAGAAACTAGATTTCATAATAGTTTACAGAACAGATTGCATGGGAAGAGGTTGAGTATGGTAAACAGGAAACAGAAAACTGTAGTGTTAAGATTCTTTTTTCAAAGTTAGGCTTTCATAAAAAGATTTCAGAATAAAAATTAAAGCGAGACATTTGTATGATGGAGTGAAGGTGTCAATGGAGAGTATATATTGAAAAAAGAAGAAAGAACAATTAAACAATTGCTCAGGTAAGTAGAATCAGGAGTGGGTGGATGGATTAATTTTAGATATGAACAACATATATCACCATGTACTGTGGAAAATTTTGTAGTTTGGGTCAGGAAGTTGAGGGAGTTCTTTCATTCTTTGTTGATTATATGAAAGGAAATAATCCACTGAAAGTGATTTCAAGAGGAAATACTGTGAGTAGGCTAAGAAGAAATCAAGGTTCTCAGGTTTGCTTAGGGGAGTAAGAGAAGTGTTTTGGAGGGGTTGAGGTAGATAAAATAGCTTAATAATTGGTTTGAAGTAAATTACAAAAAATGTTCAAGATAACTCCACAGTCAAGGTGAATGGGAGATGGAGTAAAAAGAGGATTATGATTAAGGGACTTGGTTAGGGTCAAACATAAGTTTCATAGAGATTGAATCTTCTAGTGGAGTTTTCAAATAGGCAGCAAGAAATGGGAAATCAGGAATGAGGTTAGGGGCAGGCTTATATGTCCTCTAGGCCATATATGATAGGCCATTGAGCTATCTTCAACGTGTGTGAGATTTTTATTTCCCAGATACAATTTGGATGCTAGCTGGAAAAGAGGTGGTGAATCTTGGGTCTTATATCTTTAGCAGGTTGAGAATCATTTGTACTTGATCATTTGTGTGGTTTATAGTAGGTGAAGTCATAAACACCACAGAGTGCTTTTTGCTCTATTTCTTCCATGAACTCTGAGCATGTTCCTTTATACTTACTTTATTTTCTCTCTAGATCATAAACACCATGTCACTTCAAGCTTCTATTTTGTAAGCATTTTATCTCTTTGTGTAGATACTTAATATTTTATCATATTATTTTCCCAGTTTTATTGAACATCCATTCCATTTGATAGGGGACTTCATGTCTTATCTTGCAATCCTAGCTCATTACATAGTAACTCAAAAGGTTTTGACAGTAAATAAATTATGGTTAATGAATTAATTGTAGCTTCCCCTGGTCTTTGTTTTTTATTCTTCCTAGGATTCTCTTATGTGTTCCTTTCTGTCAGTTATTTGGTCTGTTCACATTCCAATAATGTTTTCTCATTCTAAATTTTCTTGAATCTACTGCTTTTTCTTCCCATGTTGTCCTTTCTTCCTTGATAATTCCACCTTTACTTATTTGCTTTGTTTACTCATGTTACCTTGTATAATTCACTTAATTTGGAAACCCTTCCTCCCAACTCTCCTTGCTCCTAATGTTTCATTCTGTCCCTCCTGAGTACTCTTTTTCATTGTTATTTTATTTTACCCCTGAACACTATTCATACACTTCTCCCCCAAAAAACTCATTTCATCAGATAAATAATATTAAATAATAATATTAAACTCCAGCACAGTGGTACATGCCTATAATTCCAACTTCTCTTCAGCAAGAGGACCTCACAAGCCCAGGAGTTTGAGGCCAACGTGGACTACATAGCAAGCCCTTGCCTTTAAAAAAGAATAATAAAGCCAGGCACAGTGACTCACACTATAATTCTAGCTATTCAGGAGGCAGAAGTTGGGAGAATCACAGTTCAGGGCCAGCCTTGACAAAAAGTTAGTGAGACTTCCTTATAATTAGGTCCTCCAATTTTATATAAACTTAGTCTGTAGCTTTTTAGGCTCTTCACTAGAGTTGGTTGTACATATAGAATACAAATAAGCCTCAAATTCTTTTAAATGTCTGGATTTTTCCACTAATACAAACTTTGGGGAACTGTTGTTCATGCATGCTTTCGCCATTAAACTGAAAAAGTCTTCAGCTTCTAGTTAATGTGAACCCTTTGTTTTTGTTGTTGTTTTTTTGATGGCACTGGGTTTGAACTTAGGACTTCATGCTTGCTAGGCAAGCACTCTTACCTCTTGAGCCACAACTCCAGCCAACTCTTTGGTTTTTAGTATACTTGTAAAGAGGGAATATTAATATAATTTTTGCCTAAATCAAGCAGTCCCCTCTGAATGTTAATTTTTAGATGTTGAAATTTGGTGAACCATGCATCTGGGAAGTAAGATTGCAGTATGCTTAAATTTAAGTGTGATTTTTAAGGAAGAAATTCTGGGATTTGTTAGTATTGAAGCTGTCTTGAGAAATGGCTAATACTTTATATTTTTGATCAGCTGAATGGATACCAATGTCAGTGTGCACTGTGGACATTTTTTCTTAAAACTTGTTCATGTATTATTTTGGTCCATTTCTCTGTGGCAGTTGGTGTGACAAATCTTTTGGATTTATCTTTAAAAAAAAAGTTAGTGCAACTCCATCTCAACCAATAAGCAGAGCATAGTGGGACATGCCTGCCATCCCAGCTACCTGGGGGTATAAATGGAAGGATTGCAACTCAAGTTGGTGTGGCAAAAATTCAAGACCATATTCAAAACATAACTAAAACAAAAAGGACTGGGGGAGTGGCTCAAGTAGTAGAGTGCCTGCCTAGCAAGTGTGAGGCCCTGAGTTCAAACTCCAGTACTGCCAAACAAAAAAATAATAATGACATTTACATAGTTTATATTCTTTGCCAGGTAGTGTTCTAAATGGTTTATGTATATATATAAACTAATCCTCAGTTACATTTTATGGATATAGTAGATTAATTTAACTTGATTACTTTATTTAATGATAAGTTTCTCCTTATCATTAAGGAGCTTGGCTGATACTTGTATTTTTTTATTTATAAATATTCCAGATGTTTTGAACAGAGATAAGGATGAAGAGCCAATTGTAAAACAAGAAATTGAGGAAGAGGTGGAACCACAAAGTGTAATAGTTACAAGAATAAAAAGTGAAATCGACCAGGATCCCATAAGTAGAGAAACCTTTGAACTTGTTGGTAGGTTAGATAAACAGAGGGGAATCTTCTTATGGGAAATACCACGGGAATCTTTTACCCAAGAACAGAAAATGTTCAGAGGAAACTCTAACATTATCCATAAGAGATCAAACTCAGAAGAGAAATGCCATAAATGTGAAGAATGTGGAAAGGGTTTTGTCCGCAAGGCCCATTTCATTCAACATCAAAGGGTCCATACTGGTGAGAAACCTTTTCAATGCAATGAATGTGGGAAAAGTTTTAGTCGCAGTTCATTTGTTATTGAACATCAGAGAATTCACACTGGGGAAAGGCCCTATGAGTGTAATTACTGTGGAAAAACCTTTAGTGTGAGCTCAACCCTTATTAGACATCAGAGAATCCACACTGGAGAAAGACCTTATCAGTGTAATCAATGTAAACAGAGCTTCAGCCAGAGAAGGAGCCTTGTGAAACACCAAAGGATTCACACAGGTGAGAAACCCCATAAATGTAGTGACTGTGGGAAAGCCTTTAGTTGGAAATCACACCTGATTGAGCATCAGAGAACTCACACTGGTGAGAAACCATATCACTGTACCAAATGTAAGAAAAGCTTTAATCGAAATTCATTGCTTGTTGAGCATCAGAGAATTCACACTGGGGAAAGACCCCATAAATGTGGTGAATGTGGGAAAGCCTTTAGATTAAGTACATACCTTATACAACACCAAAAAATCCATACTGGTGAGAAGCCTTTTCTTTGTATTGAATGTGGAAAAAGCTTTAGTCGGAGCTCATTCCTTATTGAACATCAGAGAATCCACACTGGTGAACGACCTTATCAGTGTAAAGAGTGCGGGAAAAGTTTCAGTCAGCTTTGCAACCTTACTCGTCATCAGAGAATCCACACAGGAGACAAGCCTCATAAATGTGAGGAATGTGGAAAAGCCTTTAGCAGAAGCTCAGGTCTTATTCAGCATCAGAGAATCCATACCAGGGAGAAGACTTATCCATACAATGAAACTAAGGATAGTTTTGATCCAAACTGCAGTCTTGTTATACAGCCAGAAGTCTACCCTAAGGAAAAATCTTATAAATGTGATGAATGTGGGAAAACTTTTAGTGTTAGTGCTCATCTTGTACAACATCAAAGAATTCACACTGGTGAAAAGCCCTACCTGTGTACTGTTTGTGGGAAAAGCTTCAGTCGGAGCTCCTTTCTTATTGAGCATCAGAGAATCCACACTGGTGAGAGACCCTATCCATGTAGACAATGTGGTAAAAGCTTCAGTCAACTTTGTAATCTTATTCGACATCAGGGTGTTCATACAGGTAATAAACCCCATAAATGTGAAGAATGTGGTAAGGCCTTTAGCCGGAACTCAGGTCTTATTCAGCATCAGAGAATACACACAGGGGAGAAACCTTATAAGTGTGAAAAGTGTGACAAAAGTTTCAGTCAACAGCGCAGCCTTGTCAACCATCAAAAGATCCATGCAGAAGTGAAAACTCAACAAATCCATGAATGTGATGCTTGTGGTGAAGCCTTCAATTGCCATATTGCTTTAATTCAGCATCAAAACTTGCATACTGCATGGATGCAGTAAATGTAGAGAATTGTGTAGGTGAAGTTAGATTTGAGACTAGTTACCCAAATGCAGTAGTAGTACGGCTCAACATGGGTCATATTTGGTGATAAAGTCTCCTTGGCCTCAGGCAAATGGTTTCTAAACATGCTTTGATGAATAGTGGACAACTTTCCATGGGCAGTTGACTTCCAGTTACTCTTTGCTTTCATAATCATGGTGAAAGATTACTTAATTTAAGCATCTTTCTTTAATCTTTCAGCAGAGCTGAAAGGTGCAGAGCATGTGGGAAGCTCTGAAGGACAAAGTTGAATTAGTGCAAGGAAACAGGAAAGCTGATGTTTAAAAAAACTTAGAAAAAAGTTAACCATCTCATACAGTGGTCCTTTCAGATCCATGATAATGTTTGGCTATGCATGCCAAAGCCCAGTGATTAGACATATGTAAGTTGTCAAACAGCTCTGTTGTTTTCGAAACCAGTATACGAAGTTTTTGTTGTTAAACTTTAAGAAAGTCAGTTGTTTGGGATGTGAATTAATGAAAGGCAGCCCCAGTGCCTGGTGGTTCCCAGATCTGTGAAATGAGTGAACCATTAACTTCACATGTAAAGATCATGTGAGTGACGAACAAACCTACAAAGGTGTTACCAAGGAATCTTTGGGAGTGCCTTTTTCTCCCCAAGGTGGGCCCCCAAAAGGTAGGAAAAGATACTGTTCTTTTTTGCCCTCCCATCTGTGGAAGATGTTTGTAATACTACATGAATAAGCTTATTCCTGCACAACCAGGAGCATGTGAAAGTATACGTATTTTGATTACCAAGAATTGGAAATAAAGATACCTGGAATTTAAGCTAGGAAGCTGACATATTTTGGTATTGCTTTGGGTTTTATGGGTAATTAGATTTTGCATGCAATTTTAAACTACTTATTTCTGGTTCTAGGGCTTCCCTCAATGGTTGTTATAAACCTATTAACACAGTGTTTTAATTATTAAAACCTGTTTTGATTTTTGCTTTGTGTAAGAGTTCTTTGTTACTTTAATGTAAAATCAGACCTTATACATTGGTGTGTTTTAAGAATTAGAATCAAAGATTTTTATTTTAGGAAATCAGAAGGACTTTTTTTAGGAAATTACTCTCATTCTGTGGCTAGTTAACATTTTCTGGAGTAGTTCAAAATAAGACTAAGTCCAGGTTCTTTATTTTTCCGAGTATGTATTTCCAAACCTCTAGAAGCCCATGATTGTAACTTGCTAATAGTTTGAGCAAATGATCTCTTTTTCCTATATCCTGCCAGACTAAAAATAGCCTCCAAATCAGCTTATCTCTGATTATCATTTGTGCTTGTGATTGTGTGCACGCATATAAATGTGGAAGTACATACATGTATAGAAGTAGACCTATCTTTGTGCACTCCCTTAATTCAAATAAGGTACTCATAGTTAGTATACAATTAAGGTTTCAAAACAAAGTTTGGGGCTGGAGGTGTAGCTCAAGTGGTAGAGTGCCTGCTTTGCAAGCGTGAAGTCCTGAGTTCAAACCCCAGTTCCACCAAAAAAAAAAACAAAAGAAAAGAAAAAATTTTGTAGCTCAATGAAAGGTATAAAAATAAAGTGCACCTGATTCAATAAAATTATCCTTCTGCCCTAATTTTATTTATTTTTACAAGTGGTTCCCAGATCAGGGTCTCAACTAATAATGAGGTTCTTAGACCTGTTTTCAGAATTTCAGAAACATTATACGAAGTGTTTTCACTTCTGAAGGCGCACTAAGACATACATTTCTTTGCCATTCACTGGAATTAATCAGTTAAATGTATGGTTGTCTTGGTTAGCAGAAACTCTGGCCTTTTTTTTTAATACCTCATCATAATTTGGGGGCCATAATTGTATGAAATATTCCTACTAGAATTACATAATTTTTAACATCCTTGGATGTGAATCTGGAGAGGCGACTGAAAACTCCAGTAGCAGTACACAATTCTTAACTATATATACAACTCATTGCTTATTAAAAACATAGCTTAGAACAAGTTATGTGTTCATCTCTCCCAAGAAAATGATAGAAACATGTAGAAGGCTATAGGGAGGGAAATGAGCCTAGAAGAGGAGAGAAGGAAAAATTAAGTCTTTCAAGAGGATCTGCTTAACATGAGACTAAAAGGTGAGTATCAGGAAGCATGAGATCGTGTCTGAAGATGGTGAGTTCCAAGAAACACTTGTAGCTACAGAGTGAACTCCTGGTTTCCTGATGACTCAGGAACATGGCAGGAGGTAAGGTAGCCCTAATAAAGGCAGTTCAAGAACATTGTCATGCTCAGGAGAGTATTCTGCTAAAGGTTCTGTGATATTTCCTTTGTTTTTAAGTAGGGTGTGTGTATTTTAAGGGCCCATGATTGTACAGCTCTGAATTTTCACAACCAAAAAAGCACCTATATAACCACTCAGCTTAAGAAACAATTTCACTAGTACCCATTATGCACCTTTCTAAATACTATATACACAACATCCTGAGGTGTCTCCCTTTTTATGCAACAAGAGGCATGGAGGTGAATGGGAGGGAAAAGATTTGGGACCATAGTTCTTGACCTTTGTTAGGTCAAGATGTTTCAATCACCTGTGGTTTTCTTGCAAGAACCTCAACAGGCTCTTAAAATTGAGAGATTATTGTGCTTAGCCTAAGGTTGTGGGAATGTGCAGAGATGGTTTTGAGAAATATTTGTAAACAGTGAGACAGTGTTGGTTAGAAGAGAACGAGAAAGAGAAAGGTTTAGAGTGGGTTTGGGTGATTGATGATTTTATCCACTGAGATGAGGTAAAAATATACTTGGTATAGAATTAGGAGATCACTGAAGTTTTGACAATGTTGGTTTGTTGTGAGTGTTTGGTCTGTCCATGAGACAGTAAAAAGATGTCCAGAGGCAATTTGAAATAAAGATAATGGATTTCACAGAAGACATCTGGAGTAGACAATTTAGAAATTCAGTAGTGCTTAGAAGTGGATTAAGTTTTAGGAAAGATAAAGCAAGAAAAGCAGTTCAGAAATGAATCCTAAGGACTTTTCTTATTCAGTGAATGTGTAAGATGAAGAGGCGACAAAGGGAGAAACAGCCAGAAGCATGGAAGACCCAGCAAGTAATGACAGCTGCTACAGGAAGGTGATGTGGAAGAGGGCTGCAAAGAGGTCAAGGAAGGGCTGACCATTAGAAGGTCTATAATGAGTTTCTATAAGAACAGCTTTGGGAGTTGAGAAGAGCCCATTTTCAAAGGTGTAAGTAGTTTCTGGAGAGTATTGATCATCAGCTCCCAAATATTGCCAGTTCAACTGAAAAGCACTAGTACTACACTGAAGTGATAAGAATAAGGACAACGTAGCATCTTTGTAAAGCTAAGTTGATTAAAGATCTTTGTTCTGAAATTGTGCCCCGTTTTAAGTAAGAAGGTCCTTTTGGGGCTAGTAGAGAGGCTCAAGTGGTAGAGTGCCTGCCTAGCAAGCGTGAGGCCCTGAGTTCAAACCACAATACTGCAAAAAAGTCCCTTTTATGAAATAATAGAGATGGGGAGTGAGGGACAAACATTGTTAAGTATGTCTTAGTTGAAAAAAAACGCGGCAATCTTTTATTGGTTATTCTTTTTACCCACTTAATTTCACTGGCCTGCAAAAGTCAGATTACTTGTCCAAATAGACAGTCGTACCACATTCCCAATAAGTGTATGCAATCACTATTTGTCAATTAAAAAGAGGGCTGTAGGTTTAAGGAAAAAAGTGTTTTTGGGGGTGACTGGGGTTTGATCTCAGGGTTTCGCGCTTCCAAGGCAGGTGCTCTACCCCTTGAAGCATACCTTTAGTTCAATATTTTTCTGTTCTGAAAAGAGCCAGTTGAACCAGAGATTGAGGATAAAGAGCAGGATAAAGAATTAATTTAAATTGTTGGATGACTTAATCCTAATATCAATGGTCTTTGCATTTGGGAACCATTCCTCCAGTTTGAGAGGAAAAGAAAGAGGGAGTGTCTTGCTGGGAAAGGTAAAGAATTCACCTGAAATGACCCAGTTTGTACAAATAAGCAAATTACATCTTGAGAATCAGGGAAGAAAGGGGTGGCACTGTTCAGGGAAGAGTAGGGGCCTTGTCAATAGTACAGATATGAAGCAGATAGGAAAAATAGAAGAAGGATGAAAACAAAAACTTAGTGACAGCTTGTAATGGTTTTGTTTAGAGCCCAGATTACTATGAGTGCAGGAGCTATGAATTTGATGGAATTATTCAAATAATGGGGATCGAACTGAGGACCTCATTCATGCTAGGCAAACACTCATCCACTGAGCTACATCCCCAATGCCAAATTCCACATAAAATAATTTTGAAAGTAATTACGGTTAAAGTAAAAGGAGTCATGACAAAAAGAATGGATCCACTATCTATTTTTAATGAGTGACACATTCATCTGTCTTCCTAAAGAAGGATGTTATCAGGGGCCTACACATACCCAGTTGAGCACAGTATTTGCTTGCAGAATAAATTTCAATTTTAAAAAATAATGTAGTCCTGCCAGGCACCAGTGGCTGATGCCTATAATCCTAGCTTCTCCAGAGGCACAGATCAGGAGGATTGCAGTTTGAAGCCGGCCCGGGGAAAATAGTTCTGAAGAGACCCTATCTCTAAAATATTCAACACAAAAAAGTGCTGACAGAGTGGCTCAATGGTAGAGCACCTACCTAGCAAGCATGAGTCCCTGAGTTCAAACCCCAACACTTAATACTACCAAATAATCATCATCTAGTCCAGATATTCTAACCAATTTTTACAAGGTACTGTTCCAAATCAGTATCCAATACCTGGCATTTCTTCTCTGCCTCCAGAACTGCTTTGTAGCCTTGGATGGATGTTGAGGGTGGGTTGACTGGTTTCTTTTTAAAATTGAGGCCATCTCTATAACTATGACAGATGAACAGAAAAAAGACAAATTTACTGCACAAGTGGTATAAGTTCACATGTGTTTTTAAAGCACCTGCCACTTGCTATGTTATTTAAGTATTAATTGTGCAATTGTGTCAAGCAGCCCTTTGTCTTGAAGGAGACTTGACGAATAGATAGTAAGCCATATGTATTGTATACAGTAAAAGACTGGGGGGAAATCACCCAACTTTCCAAAATACTGAGTTTTTAACAAATAAAACATGGTATAGACTATGCCTGTGTTGTTTCCCATCCAGGAGCCATGCTGTCAAGGACAGGTTTCTCATGTAGGTCTAATGTAAGGTAAATCTTGGTATCACATGACAACCCATGCATCCCTAGGTCTGAGAAGGGCACTCTTGACTTCCTCAGTAAATTCTCCCATGTTGAAACTGGGGGAACGCAAGGGAAATTTGAAAGTGGCTTCAGGAATATGCCTTGACCTTGAGTACCTTAGAAGAGGAGAATAGATTACTCTAACATCTGAGACCTTGTGCTACAGCCTCACCAAACCCTGGCTGTTTTGAAATGCCAGAAGAATTAGTGGTATGTTTAGAATGTGCCTATTTTGTATGTGCCACAACATCCAAAGGGCTGAATCTGCATGTATGTAAGTCCCTTTTTGAGAATGAGGTGAAGAATTTTGAGCTTTGATTTGTTAGCCCATCAAGCTGCAATGAAACAGAGACTGTTAGAGTGGTAAGTGGCTGTGCTACATAAGGAGGATTGTTTTGTGGTTTTCCCAATCTAAAAATTCTTCTCACCTGCCCCACCACAAACAGGCCATACCCTGTGATGAATTACTATTGTAGACATTTAGCTGGTTCTCATTTGCCCGGATCATTTACTTTCTAAACAGTAATTTTTAGCAATATTCTTTTGTTACTGTTTTGAGACAGGGTCTCACTATGGAGCCCAGGCTGACCTTGTCTCAACCTCTTGTGTGCTGGGATTACAGGTGTGAACCACCACACCAGTAGTGCAAAAAAAAATTTTTTAAAGGACTTAGGAAATTGAGCATTGCTACCATTGCATGAGCCCTCCAGGGTCTATCATTACCTCTAGACACGTAGTAAATTTTGTTCTAAGGGGAAGGGACAGGTCCACCATTCTTTTATCCATGTGTGTTTTGAAAATCAGAATTTTTTAGAATTTGTAAAGTAAATATGTTTGTGCTATGTATTACGTAACTGTCTCTTCAGGGTTATAGGCAGCACCTGTGATCAAACACACCAATATCTGCATTCCGTGAAATGGAACAATGCTGACAAATAACTGAGGTGACAGATATATATATATATATAACTGAGATGACAGATTTTGCCACCAAATAATTTGCTGTAAAGCTTATGAGAAACTGTTTCACTTTTAGATTGTGAATAAGGAATTTTGAACCTGTTACTGATATAAATTGATATAAATTGCCTCAGTATCTCATTTTTGTAAAGCATAATGTAGACTCATATGTGAAGGTTGGCTCCTCACAAGAAGTCAACTTTCTTTAGATTGCTTGATACTTCCCTCACTTCTTCAAAGACCTTCAGTCACTTCCCTTCAATTAATTACACATTATCCTAGTCTTTCTTCCTCCTTCCCCTCATTTCTCATTTCTTCCTCACTTCCTTCATTTCTCTGCCCCTTCCTTCCTTTCTTTCCCCTCCTTCTTCAGAGCAAAAACAAATTCCTGTTTTTATTCCTCTTACATTTAATCATTTTTTGTGGCATTGGCTCTTGACATTTATGCCCTCAAAGTATCATCTTGTGACTTTTCAAAGTAGTTTCTTACACAAAGACAGTTCTCTTTCTAAGCATCCCCTTTCTGATTGTTATCCTCCCATGTTTAACCTATGCCATCTCCTCCTTTCTTACACCCAGCCACCCAGTTGGACTCTCCACCCAACTTACAACTTCCCAGTCAGTGGTGTGTGTGTCTTGCTTAGCCATTTAAGCTTTTCTAGAATGAGATACAATGAAGATGAAGCTTCTATCCCAAAGATGAAACTTCTCTTTAATTGCTTTCTGTGTCTAGAACAAGGTTTTGTTTTTAGTAGGTGTTCAATCACTACTACAATAAATCTGACAAAGTAATTAAAGCCAGGAAGCCACTAATGTATTCACTCAGTGATACGGCATTAATAGAAATTGAAGTCTGAAGTCCCGTAACGTTTATCTTCATATTGCCATAAGTACAGGAAATTACTGGAATTGATATTTCAAAGACAACTGTAGTTCTTTAGTAGGGGAACTATATCAGATAGTAGTTAGGGAAAATGCATTATATATATTATATTATATTATATATCTATAATATTATATATATAAATAACTCAGCCTTGATTATAAATTTTTGCTCAACAAATTTATGTAATCTAAGCTGTTTCTTTACAGCATACATTCAATGATTCAGAGTGAGCTCTAGATAAAAATTTTTAGGCAAAAGAACTCTGCCACACAAGGTGTTACCCACCAGCTTTTAGAACAGTGTGGCACATGGTAAGAACGCAAGTGCTTGCTTGTTGACTAGATGCAATAAGAAATGCAGAAGACCTACAATTCTAATGGCAGAGGTACTGAATACTGCCTTTAACCTTGCCCTGACCTTCCTCCCTGGCTCTGTGTCCATTAGATAAGAAAGAACTGAATCTTATCCTCTCAGCTCTACCTTACAAGTGTGAACCCTTGGCAAGTAATTTAATTGCTCTGGGCTTGGTCTTATCTGTAAAATGAAAGTCCTTGGCTAAATGACCTGTATTTGTCATTTAGGTAGGCTTGAATTGCTTAGATGAATATAGTTGTTTTTAGAAAAGTAATGATAAGCATATGGAAATAAATACTCAAATGTTGTAGAGGTCACATAAGTAAAAGTCACTTTTCCTGTGTCACACTACGGAGAATAGGCTGGGTCTACTCTGGGTTATTCTATGTTGTATAAAGCAGCAGCTTTAAGGCTGTGCATAGCTTTGACTTACTCCATGTTGCAAAGCAATAGTTTTGACTTAAGCTACTCCATTTTGAGTATAAGTGTCAAAACAGAATGATTCTACATCTTACTTGTATACATATCAGCTGCCATCTGTCAGCACACCATGAGGCACAAAGTGATAATTTTTGCTGATAAACAATTACATCTGCAAATGTATCAAATCATGTCAGAAACCCCCATCACATGAACTTATTAATCACACCAGATGCAACCTCCTCACCTACAACCATAAAAGTGGAGCAGCCCAAGACTGAGATGTGGCAGGCATACTGACCCTGACAAGAGTTTCGTCCAGCAAAATTGCCAAAGTGAAGGGCCTCCACCTCTGTCCCTGGACTCCAGCTCCAGCACAGTTTCTCCTACCCATGACCCACCATCACTTCAAACTGACACTGGAAATGGCCTGCCGCCTGGACCTGCATTTGACAGTTTGGTGCCTTGAACAGCTCTGTGCCTGTAGTTAGTAGAACTTCTTATCTGTTCCTCTAAGAGACTTTTCCTAAATCTGCATCAGCTCTCTGCCTGTGCCTCTGAACTCTGCAGCCTCTTTAACCCATTCTCAGCATTGCCTATGTATTGTTATTGTATAAAGTATAATGTGTGATCTGAGAGTTAGTTTGTAATTAAGACTGAAAAAAAGACTGTGTTGCCAATGACTTAGGTTTATCAAATGACATCAGTAGTACTTGGTGAGTTATCAGAATTGACATAACTTGTGAGATGACATAATTTGTAAATTTGTTGTTGGACAATAAATTCTGACTTTGTGGAATGACACAAGCATGTATGTCCATGTTTCTTACATAGTTTATATGTGACACATTCCCAAATCTTTCTTCTCAAAAGAAGCCCCCTTAGACTAATTTTGTCTTATTCCTCTAAATAGTATGTTTATGCCTCTATTTCTTAATTTGTCTACTCTAAATGGTACTATATGTCTTTGTGTTATTCAAGATAAGAATTTTACTTTATTACTCTTCATTTATATTTTAATTACAGACATGTATTCTTAATGATTTATATTCATTTTCTTTATTACATTAATAGACTTAAATAACTATTTTTAACCCATAAATTTTATGTACTATTCCTGGCTCCCTTTCTTTCTTCCAATTCACCTCCTTATATTTCCCAGCTTCTATCTGTTAAATCATTCTTCCTATATTACCCAAAGTTATGTTTAAATTCTCTTTTGTGACTATGGTGTTCTTAAATGCTTTCTCAATTCTGAAGATTAAAAGTCTATTCACTATAATTATGTGAGTTTTATTTATTGCAAAACTAGGGAGTATGCTGGACTGTGAAAACACAAGTGTAGTCCTCCATCACAAAACTTGGGCACTTAAAGAGCAATGACCCAATCATCAAAGTCACATCAATTCTCTTATTACATGCCACAAGTTTCAAGAAATTATTCTACAGTATGTTTAGCTTCATATTATAAACTGTGTTAATTTTCAAATATCCTCAGACCCTGAAATATAGACTGATTGTTCTCAAACATTACTACACGACTGAATCATCAAGAGAATTTTTTTTCCAATCTTTATATTTTGAGGAGTCCACCTCTATAGTTTCTGATTTAATTGAGCTAAGGTATGGCCTGATTATCTGCCACTTGATACCAGTGAATACTCAAAGATGAGAACCATAGCCATTAATTGCCACTCCTGTCTAGTAAAGTGAAAGTTAATTAAATACACCAAGTCCATCAACAAAAGCAGAAAAATGAAACCCAATCCTAATTGACGGCTCATAGAACATTTTATTTCTTTTTCAGTTACAGCTTTCTCCTTCATAACCTTACCACTGCTAAGATTATCTCATAAAATGCACTTCTCCATCCTTAGCTTTTGAGGTATTTTACTTGGGCAGTTGTTATTTGAATGGAGATCTGGTTTTCTTTTAAAGTCTAGTCTTTGTTTCAATAACTGATTTGGGGTTTCTACTGTGTTTAAGATTTACATGTATGGTGTTTCCTGCAGTTCCAATCGGATTTTGTCTAATTTCCAGGGTTGACTGAAAAGTTGTTCCCTTTTAGCTCTCCCACCAAGACACCTAGAAGAACTAGAGACAGGCTAGTGAGCATCAGGGCCTAATAGGTATAGGAGGCCGTGAAGAGTGACTGGGTGGAAGCAGCACCAGAAGAGCCCGTGTGAATATATTGTCCTTTGGCTGCCTGGCAGTTGGCCTAAAAAAAAACAAGGAGAGAGGACACTGAGTTGAGGAAATACAGCCCTGGGCTTGACTCTCTCTACTTCTCATTTAAAATCACCTACACTTTCATTTGGATTTTTTTCTCCTTGTAACAATGCTGCTAATACCACCCCCATCTGCTATAATAAATTACCTTCCTTTTTAATCTCAGTTTTCCAATCCTCTGTTTGGCAAGCCTGAGGTCGTGTCAGTTGTTGAGAAAACCTATTTTTAGTACCAACCATGTTGCAGCAATACTACTAGAGTTGAGAAACCTTTTTTGTTTTACTAATATAATATACTATAGCAAAAAAAAGTGTTTTATGATTTCTTTCCTTGTTTTACTTGTATTTGTTCTAAGAATATGTAATTTTATATAGTTGTTAGCATAGTATCATTTGATTCCCTACATACATTCTAATTGAAGGTAAATTCAGAATTATGAGACTTTTATAATAATAGCTGAATGCCACTCAGTGGTTCTACTTTTTTTTTAGTCACTTTTTTTCATCTGTTCTATGCCCAAGACTCTCCACAATTTTGACATCTTGCAACAGTGGTTCTCAAAGAGTCTTTCATGGACTACAAGCATCACTTAGGATCTTGTTCGAAATGCCATACCTACTGTGTTAGAAGTTCAGTGGGAGTTCTAGGAAGCCTGCATTTTAACAATTCCTTCAGGTGTTTGGGATGCACACTCAAGCTTGAGAACTCCTCTTCTTCCATGTGGATGACCCTTCCGACTTGCACTGTTACAACCACTCCTCATGAGGTCCACATCCCCAACCCGTCAGACATATGCCAACATATTCTATTCATTCCCTGCCTTTTGTTCTCAAGGTAAATTACTACCTCTAAATTATTACACTTCTATTTTGCCCCAGAGATGGTTTATCAGCCTCCACAGAACCTTCCTTTTCTTTAGGGCCTTATCACCAAACTTTTGACTGACTTGATCCCACACTCAGCTTCTTCTGTGGTCAATGAGCAAGATGAGGCTATCACTGGATTTGGCACTCTTCTCCCTCCCTATTAACCTTTTACTCTTCTGTTTCCCAATCAGATTTATCTGAATCTCCCTGCAGGCCATAGAGAGTTGTTAGGAAAACTCAGGAACCAAGTCAATGAACCATAAACTGACTCTAATTTCAACTGTACCCACTTTACTTAATGTTTGACTATGTCTGGCCAAAATGTCTGGTCAATTTCCTAGTGGATTCCTTCAACATCTATTTTCACCTTTCCCGTTGTAGGGATTGAAATCTTCATTTCTTTATCATTCTCAGCAATGGTAGTCAGTGATCAGACACTGCATCTCTTATCTCTGCCACGTGCTGATTCCAACCAAACCCCATTCTCTTTTGTCTTTTGTGTCCTTTCCTCCTTTTGGAAATATGGGTGATGCCACCCATATTTAGCATCATGTAATCCCATATGCTCTAGACCCTTCTACCCTCAATTATGCCCATTCCCTAATCTTTACTTTCTCCTCAGGCTCCTTTTGCTTTACATTTAAGTACATCAACCTCTTCCCTGTTTCACTATACTCCAAGTTCTCTGAAAGCAGTGCTATATCTAATTTGTTCATTTCAATTCTTGGCTCATAAGGAGTAATTAAAAAGTAATGGTTACTAATTGACTAAAACTTTTTTTTGATCCTCATTTCTCCAGACTACTTTTCTAAGTCGTTTTCTGACAAACTTCTTGAGTGGGCACGTTTCTTCTTTTCTCTTTATTAAAACTGACCGTTATATGCCTCCTAAGTGCCTTTTTTCAGCCCATGTTTTGAATCTCTCTGTAGCATGTTATTATTGACCCCTTGAAACTTGTTTTTATTTGTCCCCAGAATCCTAGGTTCATCTTATTATTAATTGCTAATTTTCATAGTAGCTTCTCTTGTTCATCTTCCCTAAATGAAAAGCAAACAAAGTTCACTCCTTGGTCCTCTTATCTTCTTCCCTCTGAAGCAACTCTGTCAAAGTTACTCTTCAACTACTGTCATGAAGCCTCCCACCAGGGTGGATAATTCAAAACTCTCTAGCCCCAGTCTTCCTACTGAGTTCTCACACCATATTTTTATATATCTAGTAAATACTATCAGTAGAAACCAATGCTTTTCTATTCAAGAACGTTAGGCCCCTATATGTAAACCTGATCAAGTAGATAAGAGGTAGCAGCATCTTACCAGAGCCCGCTTCATAAAAGCATCCTGTGTTGCCTTCTTGTTTTCAGCCTTGCCACTCCAGGCAGCCAGTGCACTGGCCTGCAGGGCTCGTCCATAAGAGAAACTTAGTTTCCAGGGCTTTGGCAGAGGGCAAAGGTTGATAGCATTGAGGTTGAGAGTAGCATCCTCTTCACTCATGCCACCAGACAAAAAGCAGATGCCTGGTAGGAGAGAAGCCATTCCATTGCATTAGTCCCAGTTTATATTCTCGGCTTGACAAAACAAGCACCAAGCCTAAAAGCCAAACATCTCAATCTTTTCTTTACTTGATTTGCAGAGGACTGGATCAAAGAAGTCATTTTGCCTTGGCTGAAGCTAACCAGGCTAAAAGAGAAGGACTTTAATAAATAAGGATGGCAGTGAAATGTTGAAGAATAAAATGGATGTGAGCCATTAGACAGACTCAGGATATTTGGCATGGCAGAGCAGGAGAAGTGCTAGATACCTATGAGACAGCAAATATCCCATTCAAGGACAGAAGCAGACTCCACATAATCACAAATGCTTGTGACACTCCTGCAAAAGATGAAGGCTAAGAGCCTGAGTTAGAGAAGAAATAATGTCCTACCAGGAACAGCTGCAGGAACGGTGCGGTGGAGAGCTGTGACAGTGGCCATAGCTACTTGATCAGGTGTATACTTCTTGGTGCAGGCATGTCCAGCAGTCACCATGTTGGGCTTTAGCAAGGTACCTTCTAAATAAACATGATGGTCATTCAGGGCCTTATAGACAGCAGCCAGGACCTGAAGGACAAGAGGACCAAACAGGTGAACCCAAACTCAGTCATAGAGATACCTGATCTTGGTATTTCTACACTACAAGAGAATGCAAGCTGAAGGAATTCTCATATGTTGCATGGCCATATGAATCATACTGTAGGCCTCCTCTTGCCCATGCATTGCATACTATAGTCATTGACTCAAGTGAGTCTCATACCTTACTTTAAAAATTCTTAGTATACATGTAATGGAACTAAGGATCAAAAGAGGTAATATGACTTGCTCAATATGGATTTTCTAACCCGAGTGTTCATATTTCAAATTCTGTCCTGCTTTCGTGCGCCAAAAAAGTGAAGTGTTGATAAGTACTTCCTTACTTTCTCCATGTTATGTAATGATTCTGAACTAAATGCTATTTCAAATATAATAGCCTGTATATGTTGAAAAACAGCTGTTACTTTACATTAAAAACAAGGTTTTTCAACTGAACTTGTTACCTTTATATTTAAGACCTACCTTCTCACTAACATACTGGCAGTGTTCCAAGTCATGGTCTCCATCAGGAAGTACCTCTGGTTCAACAATAGGTACCAGCCCATTCTAAAAAGGAAAATTAGAGGGGGAAAGAGTGAAATTGTGTTTACTGTGATTCTTTTCATGGGAGCAGAGTACACAGATACAATTAGAATAAACTCAGAGCCCTTAGGAGAAATACTATCCAGGTGAATTAAATGTGGTAAAAAAGAAATTAATGTACAATGGAAAGCTCTCTTAAGGGTTGATTATTGAACCTTATGTGCATCCTATGTGTTGGCAGTAATTTAGATGACTAAAAAATTAGAGTCACCTGATTTTTGCTACCACGACTCTGAAATATTTTTCTGAAATCTTGGCACTCAGGATTTCTGCATCCCTCAGCTACCCTCCATCTTGGAATCCCACAAAATTCTAATGACATTCATCACAGAGATTGAAAAATCAACCCTAAAGTTCATTTGGAAGCACAAAAGACTGCTCATGGCCAAGGCAATACTGAGCAAAAAATAGCAACACCGGCGGTTTCACAATAACCAACCTCAAACTATACTCAGAGCCATAGCAATAAAAACAGCATGGTATTGGCACAAAAACAGACATGAAGACCAGTGGAACAGAATAGAAGACCCAGATTTGAGTCCACGTGGCTACACCCACCTGACTTTTGACAAGGGCACCAAAAACATATGATGGTGAAACAATAGCCTCCTTAACAAATGCTGCTGGAAAAATTGGGTATCTGCATACAGAAAATTAAAACTAGATGCATGTTTGTCACCCTATACAAGTACCAACTCAAAGTGGATTAAGGACCTTAATATCAGACATGAAACTTAGAAGCTAGTATAGAAAAGAGCAGGGAATACTCTGGAGTTAATAGGCACAGGCAATGACTTCCTCAACAGAACTCAAGTGCTCAGCAACTAAGAGAAAGAACTGAAAAATGCAACTACATGAAATTAAGAAGCTTCTGCACAACAAAAAAAAAGTGGTCTGTAAATTGAAGAGGCTGCCCACAGAATGGGAGAAAATCTTTGCCAGCTATACATATCAGACAAGGGTTTGGTAACCGGAAAATACAGGGAGCTCCAAAAACTAAACTCTCAAAAATTCAATGAGCTAATGAAGAAATGGACAAAAGAATTGAACAGAACTCTCTCAAAAGAAGAAATCCAAATGGCGAAAAAACACAGGAAGAACTGCTCAACATCCCTGGCCGTAAAGGAAATGCAAATCAAAACCACGTTAAGGGTAGCCCGGCTGCCCCACGCCCCTCGCGGTCACTTCTGCGTGGCGCCCAACTTACTGGCGCCGACCCTGGGCCCGCAGGCTCCACCACCATGAAGGTGAAAATTAAGTGCTGGAACGGCGTGGCCACCTGGCTCTGGGTGGCCAACGACGAGAACTGTGGCATCTGCAGGATGGCGTTTAATGGCTGCTGTCCTGACTGTAAGGTGCCTGGTGACGACTGCCCTCTGGTGTGGGGCAGTGCTCTCACTGCTTCCACATGCACTGCATCCTCAAGTGGCTCAAAGCACAACAGCAGGTGCAACAGCATTGCCCCATGTGCCGCCAGGAGTGGAAATTCAAGGAGTGAGGCTGCATGCTGTGCAGCTCCCTCCCTCAGCACTTGGCCTGGCTCCGGGTCCCCTCCCCTCACCTGAGATGGCATCCTAAGACCCCCATCATCACTGTGGAACCCAGTGGCCATGGTCTCTAGTGGGGACTGTTCCCCTTTAGCTGTAACAGGGTTGAAACAAGGACTGTAGCTTCCCTCGTTTGTTTTTTTCTATCACAATGTTGACACTTTTATTCAATAAGTAAAACTCATTAAAGTACTTGAGCCTTGCTGGAAAAAAAAAAAACCATGTTAAGATTCTACCTCACTCCTGTTAAAATGGCTACTATCAAGAACACAAATGACGAATTATGGTGACGATGTGAAGAAAAAGGAACTCTCATACACTGCTGGTGGGAATGTAAATTAGTACAACCACTATGGAAAACAGTATGGAGGCTCCTCAAAAAATTAAAAATAGAACTGCCATACAATCCAGCAAATTCCACTCCTAGGAAATACCCACCCAAAGGAATTTAAGTCAGGTTACAACAAATGCACCTGCACACCCATGTTTATTGCAGCACTATTCACAACAGCTAAGCTGTGGAAACAGCCAGGATTGTCCCACTATTGATGAATAGATTAAGAAAATGTGGTATTTATACACAATGGAATTTTATTCAGCCACAAAGAAGAATGAAATTTTATCGTTTGCAAGTAAATGGGTGGAACTGGAGAACATCATCTTAAGTAAAGTTACCCAAGTTCAAAAGGCTAAAAGCTGCATGTTTTCTCTTTTATGCAGAATATAGACCTAGTACAAAGCTAGCAATATTATGAAAAACAGGACACACCAACGGGAGATTACACACAAGAGGGGGAGGGTATAAGAAAGAAGTTAAGGTGAATATGGTTGATACACTCTCTACACAAAAATGAACATAGAATATTTAAACTGATTGAAACAACCATAAGAAAGGGACTAAAGTAGAAAGTAGAAAAATAAAGGAAATGAAATAAACTGGGCTATAATACATATATACATGGACATGCCACAAGGAAATTCCCTGTGTAACTGTCTTAAACAAGCAAAAATGTCATTTCTTTTTTCTTTCTTTCTTTTGCAAAATCAGAGAGCAGGAGGGAGCAACAGGTCCTGCCTGATTAATTGGGGTTGATATCAGTGGGAGGGGGAGGAGGTGAGGAAAGGGTATATGAGGGCGAATATTGTGTACACATGAATGTAAATGGAAAAAAAGATACCTGTTGAAACTATTTATTGATGGGGGGGAAGGGGAGATAAAGGAGAATGGTAGAGGGGGTAAATTTAAGTATATTTGCTATAAGAACCTTTGTAAATGCCATAATGTACCCCTACCCAGCACAACAATAAAATAAAATAAATGTATGGAGTGTCTGGTAAGCATTTGTGGCTCAGCCAAAAAAGAATAGTGAGGATAAAGACAAAAATTTTTTTCAGGAATAGGGTAAAAAATAATAGAAAACTTTAATTTCTGTATCATATTCTAGGAAGTATTATAGCTACCTCAGAACTTGCTGCCATCTTTTTAGGACAGTGAAGTTTAACTAACTCTTGTGTGAGTTAATTAAGGAATTCAAGTGGAGTTTATACTTCTAATTGAGAATTTTCAGTTGACCACAACCCCAGTAAATCAAACATAGAACTAAAGAAGCAAATCAAATTTAACTTTGACCCAGAGATACTTCAACATAAGTTGATTAGAAACTTTAGCATCAGGTCACCATCCTTATTAGGTCAGAAGTATCACTCTCCTAGGGATCAAAGAGGATCATATTTCAGACATTATGGAGTATAGCCAAGCCAGTGCCTTTGGCCTCAAAAGCATAATTATTTGTAAGACTTCGCTGTGGGGCTTTGGCAGAGGACAGTAGTTGATAGCTTTGGCCTTTGAGCTCATCGTTTAGTGAGAGTCTTATTGGCTTGTGGAACCAAATCTCTCCTTACTACACAGTTGGCTATAGAAAGGATATTTTTTAAATTGGCACTAGCATTCGTTTAAAATGCCACCTTTAAAATGTCACATTGGCATTTTTAGTGCGGAAAGAGATGGGACTGTGTGCGGCTACAGCAAAATTGAAAAGAGAAGCTCTGAGGAAAGCTCTAGCCTACTGTTTTTTAGCCCAAGGGGAAGGCAGAGCACCTGCTGACAGATGCTGGCATAGCGTGCCAGGGCATTGGCATTTTCCTGGATAGCAAGGCTGGAGGGGCATTGGTCAGCAATCCTCAGCACAGCACGCCACTTCCCAAAGTCAACACCATCTTTCTTGTACTGAGCGCAACGCTCCGAGAGGCCGTCAAGTCCTGAAGTCACAAAAGGAAGAAACAATTTCTGTAGCACGGCACCTGGCCTGTGGGCCTCTGATGAAGTGAAGAAGCTCTGCTTGGCCTAGCTTTCAGTCCCAGAGTTTGAGGACTAACAGCATTCACAAGTAAGCATTAATTACAATACTGGGCCAAAAGACCTAGATATACTTTATATGGTTTGGATGTAATACTGAATTCTCCACATGTAATATAGAGGGAACTAATTGTTAATATTATATTCATTTTATAGATGTGGAAACTGTGGCTCTAAATAAGAGATTTTATCATAAAGTTTGGTCAGCTAATGAGTGGCAGACTCAAACTCTGCTTAGCTAGCCCAATGCTGAGGTTAACAATTGTCTACTTGTGTAGTGAAATACTTTGTAAAATTATTGAATTAGCATGTGATAGAATAAGGATTCAAACCCAGGTACTTAATCCCAAAGCATGGAGCATTCCTCTTTAATGCCACTGAATTTTCCTTTAAAATAACAGTTCCAACTACAGAGTATCTTTTCTGTGTAAAGTATTGTGGCATGTACTTGATGTACATTGTCTCTTATAATCCCAATGATTATTCTGCAAAGTAGATATTGTTATCTTATTTTAAGGTAAAAGAACTGAAGCTCAGAATATTTAAATGACTGTCCCAGTGTCACACAGTTATTACATGGAGGAGCTGGGACTGAAAACCAGGTGTGGACAGCTCTAAACAAGTATAATATTTGTATTTTCCCTTTGATTCCTTCCCTACTTGCCTTCTTTCTAGTCACATAGAAATGATTCCTATCAGTAGGCTATATCCTTACCTTGAATCGTGGTTTCTTTGTTAGTCCCTGCAAGGGGAGCACCTCCTTGGTCTAACTGTGGATACAAATAATTAGCAGAGGTCAGGTGTCAGTAAAACACAAGCAGAGCCCCTGATGCTCTTCTCATCTTTCACAAACGAAAGAGTGACTTGGGAAGGGATACTAGTCACTAAGGGGACACTGTTTAGTCCACAGCAGAAGAGAAGTTATCTAGAGGGAGCAGTGTGATAGTGTCAATTCTGACATTTATTGACAACCTGCACCTAACAGGCATTGTGTTCAGACAGGAGGTAAAGAGAATAAGGTTATAACCTCTACTCTCAAAATAGCAGAAGGCCATGAACTGGAGAGTTAGATAACTTGAGCGTATGCAAAGTTGATTTAGGCCATGTGGTTCAGTTTTGCTTATCTCAACTCTAAAGTAAGGAAAATAACTGAGACTACTTTCAGATTCTGTGCAGGAGACTAAATGAGTGCTTGGAATTGTAAGCACTCAATTAATGGTAGTTTTCACAGAAGTTCATACAGTATTGGAAGATATAGTTTAAAGACAGAATAGTAAGTGATTTAATAAAAATAGCTGCTGTTAACTTATGTGATAGAAACTGTTATAAAAACTCATTTCACTCATGTGTAAAACTTCATGAGGTAGTACTATTATTCCCATTTTAATAAATTAGGACCTTATAGAACCTTATAGAAAACTTGGTTGAAAGCTGAGGACACTGGAAGAAAAGTCCAGAAGAGGATCTGGTTCTCTATGGGAAGATGATGATGGAAAAGAGTGAGAAATTAGGTAAGAATCCTGAGTGTTGGCCTGCTCTGGCCAGTGTACTGGGTCTGTGCCTAGGAGGAGGCATCGGTGAGGTGTGAATGGAAGTGTATTCACCTTGATGCCCACCACAATTCCCTTCTCCTTGAGGATGTTTCTGAACAGCTTTCCCTGGCTATCCTTCTGGTAGAGGGTCTCGTGGAAAAGGATCACTCCCCCGATGCTCTGGTTGATGGAATCATCCACAGTGAAGAGGATTTCTCGAAATTGACGGCGGTTCTCTTCAGTATTTTCTACCTTAATTCTCTGCAGACGGTTTCCCATGGTGCCTAAGTCAGGGTGGGCCAAAGAGAGCATAAGGCACAAGCCAGTGCTTTCCTGCAACCCTTCTCCATATTCAGTGATCCTCAGCAGGATGAAAATCAAGACTGTTTATTTTAATTCAGATGTTCAAAGCTCCTGCCTACTTTGTTTTGGTTTTTTTCTCCCAGGCATTGGTTGTGGTTAAGCTGCTGGCTAGCAGTTATATATGCTTGGTATGTAAGGATCAGAGTAGAAAGCCACCATTGGGTCCAGAGGAATATGGAAGACCCTTAGGCCTCTCTAACTCTCCCCTGATCCAGTCCTCAGTCTCACTGGATGAACATGCACCGTAAGGAGGGAGGGATGCAGCAGTCGCTCGACGTTAATGCCTGTCATTTTAGGGTGGACTAGGCAAGCTTACCATAATTCTCCCCTGTGTCACCCTGAGATTCCCTCAGCTATAAGCCCTACCCTAGTCCAGATGCAGAACTTCCTTGCTCACTATAAGCTGGCTTTAAAGTGACTTCTTATGAGCAGCAGAAGGCTACCTATTGACCTCACCCTACTTACTGAGTTTCTGGCCTTGCTACAGGCTGAATTAAACTATCCCCTAACAATGATCTTAAAATGGAGAACTTGAGCCTCTTTTCTTGTTTTCCTGGAATCTGTCTCCTAGAACCACAGGACCCCAAAAGATCTATACTTGCTGAGTCTTCTGCTCCCACTCATGTGTATATAAACCCTTTGCTTCCTCTGACAGGAAGGAGAATGATTATCAAGTTGTATTAGCTAAGTGTAGTATACAAGAGTATGCTGTTATATGACATGACTGCTTTCCACACTCACCTACGGATTCATCTGCAGCCAGGATGCCTTTTCCATTGGCAACGATGCGCTGAGCAATTTCTGAGAGCTCTTTCTTCTGCTCTGGGGTGAGAGCTGGAAATCGGTGGGCCATAGTGACAGGTCTGGAAAAGAATGCAGGAGAGCAGTGCAAGGAAATGTAGGTAGCTGGGATGCATTCATGACCAAGACAGTCGAGGTGTACAGACAAGCCTGTGCAGGCTCTTCTGACACTTCTGGTTCATCTCCACAGTTGGATAAACAAATGAGCTCTGTTTCTCCCCTTTGCCTAAGTAGTTGCAATTAGTCATAATGGATGAAGGTAGGATCAAATGTTCATGGTGATCCTACATGGAATGCTTTCCAGGAGACCCTGGGGATCATTGATCTTAAGGCTAATTAGTGACTCATTAAAATCTGACAAATAGTGGTATCTTCAATGATAGACTAGCTCTCTATTCTGGTGATTGCCTGTGACATGGGATGCCCTCCCTGCATGACTCAAAACCAGGAAAATGAGGCCTTTTGCCTTTATGGCTATTTCCCACTTTGCTGTTAGCCTACAGTCCCAGCAGATTATTCCCAGGCAACAAGTTTGAGAGGAGAAATCTACACTTGGCCTTAAAGTTAACCTCTCTTTGACTTTGGGCTAGAGAGGGTGAGATGCAAGGCTCCTATATTCAACCATCTATGAGACTGCCTGGGCCAGACCAGGGAGGAGTTTTCCTAGTGCCTCTGGGCTTCAGGCTTTCCTAAGAATGCTAGTCATATGGCAATCCCTGCTGCCCTGATTTCCAGCTTCACTGCTTTAGCAAGAAGAAACTCTGACTGGAATATCCCTCTATCCAAGAAGAATCCTCAGCAGTGGTCCAAGGTCCAAGCTGGTCCTCACCTAGTCCTGCCTACATGACAAACCCACTTCATATTTTCTATATGCCTTGAGGGCAGGCTTTCAGTACACTGTAGTCAATGGCTACAGAATAATTAATGAGAAAGTACAACTGATGACCTCATTGTTGTTTGTATCCACTTCAGCAGAAGTTCTTGTTTTAACCAAAGGTGTGAAACCATAATGCTGTCAGGACAAGCTAGTGGCCAACAACTTCTAGAACAGATAGTCTTCCAAGGTTCTGTGACATCTCAGACACCAGCAGATGTGTTTATCCTGTTTATAAATTAATTCCTAATATTATACTCAAGAATCTTCAGCTTTGGACCTGGACTCCTGATATTTGTGCTGACAAAACCTGGGGGTGGTGACCTTCAGACCAAGATGCAAATTTTCTCTCTCAGTTTATGTATTTGCATAAAGAAGCTGACAATTATCAAAAAGTAAAGATATTTCCTTAATGAAACAAAAGGGAAAAAGTCCCAATAATAACAAATTATCATTTATTGCCAAGCATTCTGCTACTTGCTTGATATTCACTATATAACTTACACCTCACAATAATCCAAGAAAGCAGTTGAGCCTTTTCTCCACTCATTTCATAGATTAGGCAGAACATAAGAAGGCTTAAATTACCTGCCCAAGGATTGATGCCTAATAAAACACAAAGTTGGGAAAAGGGGTGGTATTCCCTTTTTTTCAAAGGAAAGAGTGAAGTTGTTGAAAGAAATTGACCTTGGATGAGTCCTCATGTTCTTGCTGACAACTCCAAAGTACCTTAGACTGTGAGTCATTATACCACAGATATCACCAACTCATAAACACCTGGCACTTTCACACAGAGGTTTGCTGTAGATCAGGCAGACCTGGGTTCAAGGACTAATTCTGCCTCACTGAGCTGGAACCCTGGGCAAGTCAGGGAACTTCTCTGAGTCTTAGTTTACTGTGAGTCAAATAGCAACAACATCTGCTTGTCTTATTGCCAAGTGACTCAAGTACAACCTGTCCACCCTGAAGCTGCTGAAAATGTATTTGTTGAATTGCATGATGAACATGAAGGTGCTTTATAAAGCATTATAAAAATGCAGGTATGAAATTCAAAATGCATTATATGTATGCATGGAAATATCACAAAAACCCTTTGTACAATTAATATATATGCTGATAAAAATTTTAAATTAGTAATGACAACAACACAAAAATGCAGGCATTACTATTTCTTTTTTAACCTCTTTAAAAAATTAATCACCTAAATGACCTCTATGTTTTTGTTAAATATCAGGGTATTTTCTTTACTCTGGGTATGCTGACACAGTCAGGATCACAGGGAAAAGTCAAGTCAAACTAATACTGTTTACAGGAAGTTAAACTTCTACAGAAGGACAAAAGGTCTGTACCACATCAGCACAAATGTTGCCCCTCTGTTAATCATAAAACAGGGTCACAGGCCAATGTTCACCGCTGGGAGAAAGGAGGCCAGACTGGAATGGATAATGATAGACAATGAGTTCTGAGTCCCTAAATATGTGATCATTTGAGGTCTCAAGTCAACTTTTTAAAAAGTGTGATGAGAAGTTGTTCACACTGTATTATTAAGTAAAAAAACCCACCAAATTTCAGAGAATTATCCATGCATACTTATCATCCTATTTGTAACTTTAAAAACCCATATACTGCTTTTATGTCTTTGTAAGTAATCAGTTACCACTCTGGAGAGTGGGATAGGGTGGGGAGACTTTCATGTTTTACTTTATACTTTTTTTGCAATGTTTTACTTCTTAAAGAGCATATTTTTTCATACATATAACAGGCAATATATACAAATCTGGGGTAAGGTTGAGAATATTATATCATATATAAGCAGTAAAGTAGAGCTATTAAGTAACTGCAGAGATTTTTGTATCAATCCTGCTACTTTAGAGATAAAGAAGCTGAGGTCCTGGAGACTATATCTAATGCTCCTTCTAAGTTGTGATGTTCTAGGATTATAAGTCACATCCTTTAGCCTTATAACATAGAATTCTGTTTCTGGTCCTTCTTCAGCCAAATAACCAATAAAGATCCACACTGTGGATCTTTAGCATTCCCTAAAGAAGTTCTGTGCAAAGATAGTCATTTGTAAAGTATGGATATTTAACTCCTGTATATATATATAAGACAGCAGAGAATCAATTTGCTTCTTCATATACAGACAGATGCATTTTCAAGACAAACGCGAAGCGGGGAGGTGTACTTAATTGAAAGCCTATGATTGCCAGGCACTGTAGACAACATTTTCATATGTGGAAAAATGAAGATGCTACAGCTTTATTACTCACCCCAATGCCACAGAAACATTGATATAAGGCAGCCCTAAAGCAGCCTGATCCCTGGTGCTTATGAACACATAAAGTAGCCCAAAAAGAGCAGCCTATGCTTTTTCCTCCAAACTGGCCCCTAAGCCAATGGAACTGTATGGTTTTCAGCAATATACTGCATTCCCTGTCCTAGTGGCTCTGACTCCTCCCACCTGGGCCTGAGTGTTCTCCAGACATGCACTGGCTAAAGTGATGTCTACCATAGCAGAAGCTATGGGCGGAGCCCCTACTGATGCAAACTGGCTAGTGGAGCCCTAGGTAACCATCTAAAGAGAAGTTTATGAAAAAGGCAATACTGTAGAGCATACCTGTTTTTCAGATAATAGAGCAAATGTATCAAAATAATGTCATAAGCTGTAAAATCTTCAGCGTTTGGTGTCAGTAGGAAATGTTAAGAGAAAGTATTAAGCCAGTGGAGAATCTGAAAATTTATTATCACACTGTGACTATGCTCTGTGAAGTTTCTAACCCTGATCCATTTCCTCATTTGAGTTGTGGGAGAAGGTGAAAGGCAAAACACTCCAAGAATTCCTGTTTGTGACAAAGAAACTTCAGGGCTAGTATCAGTAGGTGTGGAAGAGAGTGTAGAAAATAATATATGGCAATAGAAATGTAAAGAATGCATTGCAGTAGGTAGTTATAATGAAAAGAGAGTAGAAATTTATAGGAATATCATAGGCTGACTGGAACTCAACAAAACAGAAGCATTCAAGTTATTTTGGCACTCCTCCTAGCACTCAGGAGGTTAAGAGAAAAAGATCTCAATGTCAAGACCAACCTTCACTACAGAGTAAGACCTTATCTCAAAAGACAAAAAAATAAGCGAAAAAAATCCCAAAACCAGAAGTGTGCAAGTTATTTTTCCTAGACCAAATACTCCAAGTACCTGATACAGGTAAACAGTAACTGGCAATCAACCTGGAGCATTTTGTCACTTTTAGGAAAAGAAAAATAATCATTTCAGCAGACCCATCAAGTTTTCACACACCACTATGCTTTTCCTGAGCACAAAGGCAAACAAACCTTCCTCTCCGGCTAAGTGTTATCATTTACCAAGTTTTCAAAGGAAGTTCTTTGACTTACAGTTTGAGAGATCAGAGTCCTCTTGGATAACAGAAGCTGTCAGTGAGGTGGCAGTTGCCAAATAGGGCGAATGTCTGGAAGCACATGGCTTTTATAGACATCTCATCTAGCTCTTTTTTTTTTTTTAAGTTTTTCCCTCCCCTTCCTACCTTGGCTGAGTAGGGAGCTATTTATTCAATACATCTGATTGACTCATAAACAACCAACCCTTATAATTATGCTCACATACTCTATATGCTCATAAAATGTTAAAGCTTCAAAGGATGTCTTTAGAGTATGTAGTTCCTAATCCAAGCCTTACATTTTACAGGTGAGGAAACTAAGGAACAGTGGATTATGAGATTCTCCCTAAATCATGCAGCTATTGAATAACAGAGCTCTAGGGTCCATAAAAGATACTGGAGAAAACATAAGCTTAGTTCCAGCACTTAACTAACACACTACCTTGGCCAAGGTCTTATTTTATTTTTTACTGCTCTAACTTTAATTTCTTTCTCTGTAGAGTAAAATCTTAGCTTCACAAAAACACTGAGTTTATAAAATACCTGTATACAGTAAGAATTCAAGAATCATTATTTCTAAATTAAGTAAGCAATATTATATTTTCATTTTTTGTCTTTAATGTTTCATTAGTAGCCAGTTCCAATAATTTCTTTTTTAACTTATGGCTAAATTTGAATTCTCTTTCAACGAAAGAAATAAATTCTGAAGCCTTCAATTTCCTATGTCTGGACTTCATTTTGATAGAAAACAAAATTCAAACCTTCGATTTTTATGAGCCATTGTTTTTACCATCCTTTTCAGTCTCCAAAAATTAAGCTGGGCTCTCTGATGTATTTAATACTGGAAAACACTGTCTATTTCACTATTTTCATTCTCCCTCAACCTTTATACTTTTTTTCTTAATAAGCAAAACTAGCATTAAGCCCAAAGTAATGTGATCTAAGCCATCAGCAGCCCCCAAATATGGTACCAAGTATGGGTTCATTACACAGACTTTTTTTGCCTGAGAATTAAACACAAATATAATCGTAGAGAAAGAAAATAAGAACGTTAAATGCTTCATGAGGCAAACAACAAATGAAGAAAATAAAGGGGAGAAATCCAAAAATAATAATGGATGGCCATGACTACAGGAAAATATAAATTCATTGGGCCATGTTTCTTTTATATAAAATGGAAAACAAAACAAAAGTGCTGGTAGAGCAGAGTATAATTCTATAATCTTGGTGAAAAACGTTAAATATCAATAAAATGAAGGGAAAAGAAGCAGAGAACTGACTTTTCTAAACAAAGTTAAAAGTCAGATAGCTCCTAAAAGCTGGAAACGTTAGATGTTTAATGTGATTATTGAAAGAAATTCAATACTTCTGAGTTTAAAATACAAAATTGAGGATCATTTGGCCTGCAAAGTTTTGTCCAAACATTGTACTAAAGGTATAAGAGGGTTAAACGAGGTAAAGTTCTCACCACCATTCTGACTCCATTTGCCACCTGATAGCACATTTTCTGACATTCCCATCTCCACTTGGTGCTTATTTAAGCACTTGGTACTTGATTCACCCAGGTGATCTGGTCTGGAGCTACATGAGGTTTCATCATATATGTTTTGTTAAAAGAGAATGGAGGAAGAAGCAGTGGATGGTAATAAAAGAATGAAAAGTGAGTGTAGTGATAGTTGTCAAGGGGTCAAGAACCATGGCTAAGATATTCTACCTGCTGAGAGATGCTTCTAGCACTGATTCTTGTCGTAGCAATGATAAAAATATTAATAGCTATCATTTCTTTTTTGAAGCTCTGTGATTTACCTGGTTCTTTTTATAAATGATCTTCAATCCCAACACCTCTCTGAAGAAGGGTTTATTACCCTTATTTTATGCACAAAGAAATTCTGGTTCAGAGAAGGCAAGCAATTTGTCCAGCGTCAAATGACAGGTACATGGAGAGTCTGTGTTGCTCCTAGTCAGTGTTCTAATGCAGACTTGCTTACATCTTGGTGAGCACAGATAGCGCAGCTTAGCTCTTTCCCTATCCCCCTTCTCAGCAGTTTATAACCTTGGACATTAAACCTGCATTAATCAGAGAGGAATGACTTATGTTGGCAGACCTAGGTGTTCCTGGTCATGCGGGCGGACATTGTTTCACGTGAACAGCAGCCTGGCCAGGCATGTCGGAGGAGCAGGAGTACACCTGCTGCTCAGCTGTACCAGCTGTTGCTGCTCCCGTGGCACCGGCAATTACCCACCTCAGAGCTTTGTGTTGAATGGAAACTCAAAGTTCAAGAAAGTAAAGCTAATGGCTTACTGGACCTTAGAGAAACAGCAACACCTGACCAAAACAGGCTATTTGCAGTGGTTGGCTTTTTTGTTTGTTTGTTTGCTTGCTTGCTTGTTTTGTTGTTGAGGGTATTTTTTATTGATGGTATTGTTGATTTTAAACATCTCCCACCACTGTAAAATGTTGAAAATTGAAATACTATAATTATGCAGGAAGAGCATGGGACTTTGAGGCTGTGAAACACTAGGAAATTTCCCAAACTTACTAGTTCACCTTTTCACCATCTGTGAAATGGGCTAGTAATGCCTCCATCAGAAACTGATTATGAAGTGTGAATGAAATAACATGACTAGGAATCTAGCAAAGAGTAAAGTTTCGTTAAATAAGTAGATCTGAATACATAACTCTGATTTGGATGTTTCCAATTATATATTATTTTAAGAGCAATGTGGTGATCATTCATGATCATTGCTATCGATACTCCCAATAATTTCCTCTTTATTCTCCACTCGTTGCCCCAGTTTAAGTATGTCTGGTTTAAATGTGAAACATAAGTCAAATGTATTTGTGCACAGCATGAGGTGTGACTCCACAAACAAACTTGAACTTACAAGTACATCTCATGTATCATAGAATTATACTTACTGTACGATTAGTGACATTATGGAAAAGATCTGCTCATAAAAGAAGATCACAACTACCTGATGCAAATGGAAGAATCATGGCTTGAATTTTAAAAGTATCTTTTCCAATGTGTGATACAGATACTTCCTCATTGGATTGCAATTGGTTTTCATGGTTGGGATGGTTTCAAGTCTCTGAAGTCAACAATCATTGCTTTGATCATGGAAATAGGGCTAGTGTATCTCAACATAGTTCACAAAATCTTTATTGAGCTTCTGTGATTATGGCATTTTGTTAACTAAGGAACATTTTGTAGAGGATTTTGTTAAGACTGTGAGATGAATAAGACTGGCTTAACCTAAAGAAACTCAAAACCACAGCAGTGAAAGAAGAGGGTTGAGGTCAGGAATCAATTAAAGCAAAGCAAGAGTAGAAGAAGTACTAAGAGACTGGGGTGGTGATGGTGGCTGTGGTTGTTCTTATTATTGCAGTGTTCATGGATGAGTCTATGAAGTAACATGAAATATGAAAAAACCTAAGGTAGTCTAAATGTTCTATGAGAGGAGGGGCAGTGTTGCTTCACCATTGTGTCCCAGCATCTAGTCCCATGTCTAGAACATAGTAGACATTAATCAATTTGTGTTGAATAAATGGATTAATAAATATAATATAAATGTCAAAAATGCCTAGAGCAACTGGCTTATAATTCTTATCCCTGGGATCTTTGAGATAATTAGCAAGTAGAACATAATCATTATTCCCTCCTAAAACAGTACTAGTCTTTGAAAGCTCGTCTACCATTGTTTGTTTTGAACTTCACAGGAATCCAGGATGTAGCTCTCTTGCAATGTTACATAGTCCTTCACCTCTAAAAAATATGTGGTAAAATATACATAACATAAAATTGACCATCTTAATAATTTTAAGTGCCTAGTTCTGTGGCATTAGGAATATGCACATTGTTATGCAACCAAAATATCCAGGACTTGTGCAAAGCTGAAACAACTCTATCCATTAAGCAACTCTCCATTCCACCCCACCCCTAATCCTAATAACAACCATTCTACTTTCTGTCTCTATGAATTTGACTACTCTAGGTACTTTATGTAAGTGGAATCATATAGTTGTCTTTTTATTGCTGGCTTATTTCACTTAGCATTACATCCTCAAGTTTCATTCATGTTGTAGCATGTCAGAATTTCATTCTTTATAAGGACTGAATAATATTCCATTATGTATATAGCCCATATTTTGTTCACCCATTCAACAGTCAATGGACTCTCGGGTTGCTTCTGCCTTTGACTATTGGAATAATCATGCCGAACATGAGTGTACAAATATCTCTTCAAAAAACCTGCTTTATGGTACTGGAGATGCAGCTTAGTGGTAGAGTACTTTTCAATCTTGCACAAGGCCTGCGTTAGATCCCTTGCACTGAAGAACAACCAATCAGCAAAACAAACAAACAAAAACCTGCTTTCTAACCAGACAAGCCAGATCATAAGAACAAGTACCACATGTTTTCTCTCATACGTGGAATCTAAAGTGGGGGAAGACATGAAAGTAGAAGGGGGACTATGAGGAAAGAAGGGGCTTGGGGGAGGGGGAATAAGAGAAGGTAATAAGGGAGGTGAATATGATCAAAGTGTCAAAATGTCACAATGAAGCCCATTATTTTGTACAATTAATATTTGCTGATAAAAAAAACAGAAAACCAAAAAAGTCTAACTTCAATTACTTTATGGCCTTTTTCTTAATGTTTCAGCTTTATTGAGATAGAATCACATACAATATAACTCACCTAGCTTTAAAAGCTCAGAATTGGAGGGCGTAAATAGTTTTAAGCACCATAATGGGACTTGGGGACAACATAAGAATGGAAGAGTCAGGTTTGCCTTCCATTTCTTCATGGTAAATTTTTAGACACTACATTGCTGAGAAATCTGTACTCTGCACTGTGAGAAGATTGGAGTACCTGTGTGTTGAAGTATCCAGGGTCAGTGAATTTAAGAGTATCCATATTCTAGGGCTTAGAGATCCCACCTCCCTCCATACAGAGACTGAAACGAAACATTGAAATGAAAGAACTCTCATAAAAAAGGCCACATCTGTGCAATGCAACTGGAAGAATCATGGCTGGAATTTAAAATATCTTTTCCAACT